CTCTTAGCCCATGTCAGCAACTGTTTACAAATTACAACTTGCAGTGCAACTTTCTGCTAATGGTAGCTGACAACAAAGTTGACAATAAAAGTAAAGAAAACTTAAAAAGAAGCGACTTTTTAAAACATCTACCTAAAAAAACTGCGAAAAAACTCTTCTTAAAAAAATTCAATAAATTTTTATAAAAGTTAAAAAATATACAATGTTTTGACATTCTCGGACGTCATTATCAAGTAAAAAAAATACTGTATGAATGTTCTATATAATACAAGAAAAACAATAGTTCATTAAAAAGAAAAGTACTGTAATGTGTTTATGAAAAGTATGCTACTTTCCTTTTCAATGAACTATTGTTTTTTTTTTTTTGTATTTATAGACAGGGCTGTCAAAAAGTTGTTAAGTAACAGGCTGATAATGAATTGTAGGGTGGCTTTGGAACCCGCACCAAAGGCACAAGTTTTTAAGGGCCAAGGCATCTATTAACATTTTGAAATTTAGCATCTCGGAAATGCCATTTTCATGGGTTTCCACTGCAGAAGCCATGTTGTTTCATCAGAATACATGCAAGACTGGAAACAATGCCGTCGAAACGTCTCAGGCGTTCCATGACCTTGCACGGTTTGAAAGTTTCACAGACCTAAACTGTTTAAATATGCGTTTAATATCATTCAAAACTGGGAAATGGATGCTTTACAAATTTTATTCGATGGTGCTTATTTTTTGTTAGCAGACAGTTATGGTAGAAGGAGATGAAAGTAGCCAGTTAAGTATCGCTAACTAGCCGGCGGTTTTGGCCGGCTACCGCCCCTTATTGACAGCCCCGTATAGAACATTCATACTGTATTTTTTTACTTGATAATGACGTCCAAGAACACAAAACGTCATATATTTTTTTAACTTTTCTAAAAATTTCTTTAATGTTTTTAAGAAAAGCTTTTCACAATTTTTTATAGCTAAAGAAAACTTCATAGGGAAAAAAAAGGAATCTGACCCTTTTAATCCAAAGAAAGCTTAATGATAATAACTTCCAGAAAAAACCTCAAATCAATTTTCTGAAATATTAAGGACAAAATAGCACCATTAGCGTGCTCCCTAAGAGGTTTTATTTGAATAGTCATACAGTGTCATGTATTCCTGTCCAGACTCAAAAGGTTGGTGAAAAATTCTGGAAGTCAAAGAGTTAAAATTCATTTCAGAATAATAGAGTCTTCAAGGAGTAAAATTTGTAGGAAAATCAAGGAAGGGTACATAATATTGCATGTTCTCAGTCTCCAAAAAACCTTAACTAAAAGCATGTTGGTTTTGGACAATGACCCTACTGTTTTGTGCCATGCTCACCTTTTTTGCCATGTAGCAGATCTTAACACCTACCTTTAGAAAACCAACAAGATTTGGTTGGGGAGGTGAGTTGAGTGTGGTTTGCAGGTTTGTTGCAAATTGTTCTTCAGTAAGTTTTCCTTCCTGAAAAAAAAAAAGATTGATATTACAGTCAACTACATTTACACCCATGAACTACTTTCATTTGTCCTCATTCATTTGAAACTGAAAAAAAAATTAGATCTTCTCAAGCCCCTAACCACTAATAAAAATAGCATATTATTTAACTTTTTGGTTACTTCATGTACATGACATGGGGGAGTGATCAGAAAAATTGTGCATGTGGGGTGTAGGTTAGGCTATTTTGGGAAGCCCATGAGTTGGGGGAGAGGGGCAGTTGCTTTCTTTCTTTCAGGAAGTCCTGTTGGGTTGAATAAAATACCGTAAATTCTCTATTATTTATTTCAAGCCCATTTGAGGGGGAGCTTAATAGAGATGAGGCGCTTATTTGAGATGTGGGGGGCTTATTTAGAAAAGACGATGGTATCAGTTCTCCATAAAGAACTAGAATACAGAGTGGAGAAGCTCAAGAACAAGAGAGTTGGAGGTCATGCAGCCTAGGATCAGAATCAAATGCGAACTTCCAGTTGGTAAATCAACCATCCCAGATCAGTCCAAGGCTGTGCTCTAACGGCGCCCGGTCGCCTGAGGCGACTAACATTTAACTTCAGGCGACTGAAAAAAAGTTCCCGGTCGCCCAGCCGGGCACTCTTGCTTCTGGTCCAGTGTTCAGTTAAGCGGGCAGAAAAATTTAACATACTAGTGTTGGCTTGTTGAGTCAGAGTTTAGCTAATCCCTACAGAAAATGTTTTTACGAATGTTGTACGAAATAAACGGGCGCGCGTTGATGTTCAAAGGTCGTTCTACATGATTTCACATGTAACATAATCCATCACTTTGAACGTGACAAGCGGCACGGATTTCGATTTGTATCGCTTCTTAAAATAGTTTTAAAATTTTTTCTTTCAGATAGAATGGTTCATTAGGTACAGTTATTAGGAGAAACTGTCAATACTTTTCTGACAGACGTAAAGCGCGGCTGGCGACGCGGAGTAATTTATTTTCGTATAAAACAGAAATTGCTGTATTGACTAGTATGCAAATGCAAATGTACTGTTTTTACGGTTTTTGGCTGCTGTGTCTGCTTGGCTAAAACATGACTTATGATTGTTTTCTTCCCTTTACATAAGATAACGAAATATAAAAAGAAAAGATATGATCGTTCTGACCCTTTTTATTGTTGTGCTAGAAACAGGGCAGTTCCACGTTGTCTTGGCATTTAACGCATCGAAAACGGTTGCCTAAATTCGCATGCAGGCTAAATTTAGCGGTCAAAAAAATAAAATAAAAACACGGAAAGAAGAGCAGGTTTACACTTTGACCGTATCCACGAAAAGCTCAATTGTCCTAAAAGATTCAGTGATAATATAGACAAGAAAATTAAACATGACTTATTTTTTATTAAAACAATAGGTTTGGGGCCGTGGCGGTTTCACTGTTTCAGGGAATTTTTCACGGGAACTTGAGTTCGATCAACCGCGTATAAAACTCCGTCACATTATATTTCATGCCGCATTGATTCACCTTTTGAAAATTTATTTTCAAGTTTAGTATTACTGGTAACAAGCACAGTTTTCCTGTGTTTGACACAAAGACCTTAATGAACCTGCTGAAATTTTTTACTTTTCTCTCTTTGAAACCTAAACAATTCGGCGGCATTGCTCACGTTTCTGGTTTTAAATCTGAATGGCACGAAAACTTTGATGGGTTTCATGAGACAACATGCGGGTTTTTGTCGAACCCAAAAGCTAAAATGACCGAGTTTGGACAAAGTACTTCCTCATCAGATGTACTCGGGCGACCAACTTGAGAGGTCTGGGCACTGCAGCGGGAATGCTTGGGAGCCTGAAGGGCTCCCCGAAATTTTTATTCGGGCGACCAACTTTGAGGTCTGGGCGACTTAAATAAAATGCTTGGGAGCCCGAAGGGCTCCCTGAAATTTTCCTTAGAGCACAAGCTTGCAGTCCACACAATGTTTTACAGTCGTAATTTTATTGATCAATATAGTCTCTCATTTATTAGTGAAGAATAATTAGGGGAGGGGAGTGGGGGCTTAATAGAGAGGGGGGACACTTATTAACTTTCTTTCCCTGAAAAGGGGGGGGGGGTGCTTATTAGAGGAAGGATGCCTATTTGAGAGGGGGGACTTAGTAGAGGATTTACGGTATAAGACTGACCAAGGAAGGGACTAAGAAACATTTCATGGACACATCAATTGGATTCCTGTTACATACACTTTGGTATAAATGGGAAGAAAGATGCCATTTGTTGCAAGGCTGTTCATTATCAAGGAGTTCTTTTTATTAGATTTTACCATAAAACTAGTTTTTTTCCAAAAAAAATTGCAGCTAGTCCTTGCTGGAGCAATTTGTCCCAAAATCAGCAATTTAAAGATCTGATAATATGAATGAATAGGGTGAATTTAATTTGCAAAGATATAACTGGTTTGCAACAACTTGACAAGGCAGCCATGTTGATTGACAAAACAGTGCAAGTACCAGTAAATATTTTCATTCCAGAATTTGCAAGAAAAAATCTGTTTAGTTCCCAGTGGAGAGGGACCCTTTTGTTCTTGTCAACTAACATGGCTGCCGTAAATTAAAGTCAGCCATGCAATTTAGAATACCCACAACAATAAGCAGGGTACAAAGAAAGTCAGTTTTGCAACTTTGCTATTTGGGCTGTTGTAACTAGCATGTAATAGACTGTTTTCACATGACGTCACGGCGGCCATATTGGTGTCCCAAAACAATGAAACGGCGGCCATGTTTGTGTCCCAAACCAGTCCTGTGGGAGTTGAACTCTTTTCTTATGCAAACGCTTTCTTTTGTTCCAATAGATTTGCATATATGCTGGCCACGTGAGTGAAAACACTCTACAGCCTAATTGCTTAAAGTCATTTTAATTAGCCGGAAAAAAAAAATTGATGAGCAGGATATAGGATGCTACTTTTTTCGCAAGCTGAATAAGCTCAAACACAAATTTTAATCAATACTACTGCCCTTCCACCCCATCCCTCTGATCCCCCCACCCCTACCCACTAAATAACACAGTGTTGTGACTCGATTCAAGATAACTGAACTCACCATAACACCTTGAACTAATTCTTTCACAGTCTTGCCAACCTCAGGGGATTTTTCTGATGCCAACCTCACCAAGTTGTTGAAAAAATTTTTTAATTTAAGGGCCTGCTCCTTTACTTGTTCAAGTTGAGCAGCATTGACCTGTGGCTGCGAATGGGTGACTGTCGCTAGTGGAGTGCTAGACGGCTGTGGTTTGGTCTGATTACCAGCAATGGTGATATTCTTGACACCTTGCTGTTGAGGAGTTGTTGGTGTAGAAACACGCATACCAACATTTGCTACATTGGAAGAGCTTGAATTGTGACTATTAGTACCTGCAGTAGATGCAATTTCAGTCTTTGTTGTTGTGACAGAGGCCTGGTTTATAGGCATTCTATAAGTGACTGTCCTCGGTATTGCATTAATTTGTTGGGGCCGAATTTGAGTTAGGTTAGTTCTAATCGGAACATTCTGGGTTACGCTAACACTCGCCGGTACTGGGCGAATCTGAGTTTGTATAATGTTCATCTTCTGGTCCTGCTGCATCGGCGAGCTTGTCGCTGGCTGCCGTAACACAACCTGAGGGTTTACAACGCGCGGAGCATTTACAACGCGGGGTTGAATTTGCTGGATGATCCTTGGCGCTGTCATGGTTTGAGGATTTCCCGGAACAGCTGCATTTCCCGATACAATTCGTGGCGCTAGAGCGATTTGCTGCGGATTTAATATATTAATGTTCCGGTTAATCAAGTCCGTGCTGTTGATCATGGTCGTAACGAAGCGATGTCCGCCGGTAAACGCTGCGTTCGGAGCAGCTAAAACAGCCATAGTGGCCGGCCGTGGAGCCAAAGGAACCGCTGTGGTTACCGTGGGACGTGGAGCAATGTTGATAACAGTAGTAATCGCGGTGTTACCAGTTGTGTTTAGCACAGGCGATGAAGAAATTCCCGGACGAACTGCAGTCGCGGTTTGGTTTTGAATCGGACTCGTTCGGATTGGCGCCTTGCTAGTCATGTTGCTTATTTTAGGACTGGTCTTTGAAGCTTCAACCGAAGGTTTGACTTCATTGTGGTGAGATCTAGGGATCGGTGTCGAAGCCAGCTGGCTTTCCAGCGATCCCACCATAGCACTGACCTCCTTCTCATCTACTTCTTTCTCGAATAGGTCTTCTAGAAAGGAAGACGCCATTTGGCTACCATTCTTTTGATGCACTCGCTTAAAAAGTAAAACAGTATTATGGGATGTAAAAACGCACGCGCATCTGAGATTTGCAAGAAACCGCTAGCTAAATTCTTCTGACAACAGGCGCTTACGGCGCACGCATAAAACTTTTTGTTGGAATGACTGACCAGTAGGCAACGGGGGCTCTATTGAGCTATGAGAATTTTCGATAGTTTGTTTGTTTGTAGGTTTCTCAGAATGTTGTGATGGTTCTTTTCGTATTATCGGTTTTGGCATCTGTTCTGTTTAGAAGAATTGAATCAAGTAACCTTGTAGACATATATGGGAATTTGCTGTTGTAAGATCCACGAGACGTTGAGAGAAGACAGCTATGATAGCAGCGGAAGAATTCTTCCTCATTTTTCGGCCAACATGGCCTCCTGCTCCGATCACACCGATCATCTTGTGTTGGATGCTCTTAGCGCTCTAAGGAAACTTGCCGAGAAGTAAGAGGATTATTTTCCTGTTGTTTTTAGACTGATAAATTAAGCTAAAAGCCTTAAGGCAATGATCAATATATCCTGTTTGCACAATCTACGTTAGGTTAATTTTCAAGCCTTTCATCGTTTAAGGTTTAATTCTCCTGCAAAATGCAATCAATGATATCGTCGTATGAGTTAGCTCAGTTCACTTCCTCTATTTCAATACATGTAAGGTGCTATTCTCTTGCTAGTTTCCTGATGATGATGTGTAAAAAGTACAAACTCACCTTTGCCAAATCCAGTTGTCAAATTAAGGTCATCGATGGGCCTTGGGAGTTTACATAACCCGTCATTTGAATTGTCAATTAACACCTGTTAATTGCAAGCAGTTCTGTTGCTCAACCAAGGGGTAGGCCATTGGAAAAATTTTGGGGGGGGATGGAGAATTTTTGAATGGCATGTATTCTTTTTTCATCAAAATGTTGTGCACAAATATTTTTTTCCTTGACGTTGAAATTCAGGTGTGCCAATAAAGGATTATTTGTACTGGGCTTTGAATTATAAACAGGATATGGCAAGTGCACAGGGAAAGATCACTGGAGGGTAGGGACAGGACAGGACCTTTCTCTGCAAAGTAAAGGGGCACATGCAAGTCTCAACAAACAACAATGCCTAGTCAAACCCCATTAATATGAATGGATACTGAGGGGGCCATAGAAAGTGTCTGTATTAACAGGGTGCCTGTATTAAACAGGTGGAATTTAGAGAAAATGTAAGGGCTTCCTTTACCCAGCGACAAAGCAAACTGTCTGTAGTAAATGAGGTGTCCATATTAAGTGGGTGTTTCTAAAGCAGGGCTTCACTGTAACTTTATTATCACATGTAAAAGTTGGAGCCAAACATTTGTATGTTAACCTCTTTGGTAGCACAGATCATTAAGTAAACATAAGTTTTCAGTGCTCAGGGTTGTTAAAAGTAGCCGGCTGCCAGCAAAAATCGCCGCCTAGTTGGTTAGTATCGGCCGGCTACTCCGCTTGGCATTTCTTTACGGATGGCGTCTTTTAAATGAAATGTCCCTGGACTCGCCGCTTACTTTGACAACTCAGCCATCTACTTCAAAACTTGCTGACAACCCTGAGTGCTGTCAACTCTCCCGGATAATCCAGGAGACTCCAGCTTTTGGACCGTATCCCCCGGTCTGCATATTAGAGTCTGATATCTCCTGGATAATCCCGAAGTTGTTATTTCTTGTAGACCCAACTTTCTAACCATAAAATTAAAATATTTTGCGGTGTTTGAGCTACTGTTGACATGGTATGTTTCCCTATCAATTCTGGTATGCCACTGTAATTTAAGTGATAATGTGGCTAAATATGAACTGTTTATGTGCTATATATATGTCAATCGGAATCAACGAGCATTTTTGGCACAAATGACATCCTTTGTCATGAGATATGACATCATCTATCATTTCTTCCCTTTCAATTCTCAATATTTGATGACGTGGGGGGTTGACAGCCGTGCGTTTTACGTATGGGAAGTATATGTTTGCGGTGCCTGTCAAGGAACTTCCATGAATATCATCTTTTATCAATTAAATATAAAATAATGTATAATTTTACATTTTTGTTTTTGTAGTAGCATGGAGCCTCCAGAATGCATGACAATTCTACATTCCTTGGCAGAAGAAGGTACAAAATGCTTAAGATTAACATGTTATGTCATTATGGAATATGTACGAGTTCATTGTTTATTATTATAAATGTCAAAAATTAAAGTTGCTGTTAACTTTTTTGTTCAACTCTCTGGGACTGGTTCTGGTCAGGAATAACTTTCCCACCTAGTCCCACCGAGCTCCTGTAACCAGCCTTCTTTGTATAATATAATCTAAAGACCACCATGAAACAAATTTATGTAAGAGGAAGGGGGAGAGCAGAATAGTGGTGATATGATAGGCCAGAGGATACACTGTGCAATCATAGGTCTAGCATCACCATCCACTTCCAGTTTAAAAGTTGGGTGGCAAGGGCCTGTCTGCATGCCCCAGCCCGTCTCCCATTTCTATGGCCATGGGAAGATGAAGAAATAAAGACTAGAGTTAAGAGAGAGTTGATAGGGGAATATTCAACACTAGCCCGCTCCTCCCATGTTATTCTCAATCTATACATGCACATGCATTTGTATACCTCTCTAGTCGTTGTCAACAGCCTTAAGTAATTTTAAGACTAAATCTCTACCACTCTTTCTGGTGATCAGCACATTAAAAAAGTGAGCAAATTTTTCCGCCTTTTACTGATGGTGCTCATTCTCTGGCTAAAAGCCCATGTCACACAATAGTGAATGCCCTGAAAACAGAAGAACAAGTGAGATGCAATGTATTTTTCCTTTTTATTTTACGTATGTGCATATAGACTTGCCATAAGTTGACCTCACGAGTGACCTAGCTGACAAGTTTCTAAGTGAGCAGAGTGAGCTTTTTAGGAGTTCCTAAGCAAGCAGAGCCAGCTTTTTAGGCTGTGAAGCGGCCAAGCAAGCAACAAAGTCACAAGAGGTCAACTTGTCTCACTTGAAAGGTTCCTATTTGCATTTCATTTGCCAAAATGGGGAGTGGCATGACTAACATTTGGGGTTTCTGATTACATTGAGTCCTTGACATCATTGATTCCACTCCGACAAAGACAATCTATCACTTGTATGTTTCTCCGACAGTGAAATGGCAAATTTGTTAGCTTTGTGCTTAAGTTAACACGAACAAAGATTTCAGGTGTAATAACTACCTCATGCGGGCGGGAAATAAAACAGAGCTTGTTAATCTCGAGTTGAGACTTGGAGAGAAGATTTCCAGTGACAGTTTGTTAATGAATATATTGTGCCATGACTGTGCCGACAAGAATGAAACCTTTGTTCGGAAGCTTCTTGAAGTGAGGGAAAGCCTCGAATCATCGAGGAATGCCATTGCAGAGGAGAAAGGAGGGATAAACCTCAATAAAATGGCACACGCGCATTTCAGATCGTCATACCATTGGGCAAAAGATGACATCACCAAATAAGATAATGATCAAAAGCGTATGGAGCCAGCTCAAAAGTCAGACTTTACCCAGCTTCAGTTGGAGCAGAGACAAAAAAATCCCTCCCGACAGATATGCTTTGATTATTTTCCTCTGATAGTCATGCATATTCAGAATATCCTTTGTCCTCAAGAGCATCTTTTAGGATATCTCATTGTTGAAATTAATCAACTGCAAATCACGTTTCCGTGCACTTAATTACTTGTGAGATTCACTTTATCCCCAAGGATCCTACTCTGATTGGTCTAAGTGCTGGGATCCGTTTTTGGGTCACTTAAACTGGTACCAATCAAGTATGAAATGTCCTTCTTCCAGTGCCATATTAAATCGGATGGAGAACTTTTTTGAAAGCCTAATATTCATAAAATGTTTAGGATACTGTCTCCTGATACCATCCACAATTTCTTTTATCTACCTGTATTAATAGAAAAAAGTTTCTTTTAAGGTACTTGATTAATAATTTTTACTGTGCAATGTTGATACTGAATTTTAGAGGAGGGATGGCTAAATGTTGTGAAGTCCTGTATTTTTGCTATTCCATTGGAGGATTCTCTTGGAGCAGCTGTTGTGTGTTTACTTCTTGATGAATGCCCACTTCCTACCCGGGTCAGTGTTAATAATATTTTTTAATCCTTTCAAGACTCTTACATGACCATATGTAACAAAGTGTAGTGGGAAACACAGACCTCATGCAAAATATCTTAATAATGAAGGCAAATTGCCCCTTTCACATTTTTCAAATTGTTACGGTCAAACTGGGAAAACTGTGAACACCAGACATATTTTGGAAATATTATTGTGTTGCAAGAAAACAGCCAAAATAAAATGTAAGCAAGATTGTTAATTAGTTTGTGGTTTTGTGGCCTGTTCACGTGTTCTGATCTGTGCTGTGATTGGTCATAACACAATAAATATTCCTGAACTATTTCAGGTGTTCACGGTTTTGCTGGTTTTGACTGTAATGACAAACATGATTTTCAAAATAAATGACTGTGTCAATTGATTTATGAAATCCATTCAACAAGATATGGCAATAAAATGATATATATATCTAACTGGTGAAAAATAAGCTGTTCTTTTTTTCTTGAATTTTTAGGATGCTATACATACCCTGTCATCAAGGCTGAGACTGTCCAAGGACCTCGAAAAACTTGTATTCCACACCAATCAAGGCAGACGGGAGAGTGAACTTACACCATCAATTTGCCGAAACCTGGCTGTTGTCTTAGCATGCTTAGCTGACAAGTTGGCTGGTGAGTAGCCTAATCCTAGTCTAAAATGTCACAAGTCTCCACCTCCCAACCTTTGGGGGGCGTGGGGAAAGAGACGTCTGAATTCGGAGCATTTTAATGCTATCTGGTGATGTCACCTAGTAATTTATGCATTTTGCATAAATTTCGATTCCTTAACGAGTTGGTAGCCATAAGTCACGGAACCATGAACAGTAATATTCATCGTGTTTACATTTTGATTTTTGTGGCCTTTTGTCTTTTGTCTGTCATTTTTAAACAATGGCTAAAACAACATAACTACTACTTTGTACAATCAGAGCTCCTGAACAGACTCTGGACAGATTTTTCATCATCAATATGGAATTTCTGTTGCTGTGGCACAGGCATCTCTCCTGGCAAAATACCCCTAATGCAAGGAGCAAGGAGAGGCAGCTGTTTTTGTAGGCTAGAAAAGTAGTTGTTTGAAAATGTTTTTTTTTACGGGGAGCTAGGATAGAAATTTGTGTTAAGTCAGTTCTTTTTGAATTGGCTCAAAGTGTGCTTGATCATATTTAGCAGCAGCCATTTTGAATCATTGTTACAAGATTGGGGCTGTGGCTTGAGTGAGAGAAAAGTCTGAAAAAGGAGTGTGAAAGAAAAATTATTAACAAGTTTTATGCTAACATAGCGAAATTCATGAAGAGGCTTATGACTGTCTAGTATTTTAAATAACAGCATTTTATAGACCTTTTTAGCTTGTATGTTTTATTTTCCCAATTCAGACTACATGATGCTCTTCAGGGAATTTGCCTTTTGTCTTTTCATTAATTCTGCATACATATATGCACATGGATGCATTTTCTCCAGATGACATTTGAAAGAAACAGTTCACCTTGTGTGAAATGGGAAAACAAAACATACAAGCTAAAAAGGTCTATTTAGCCCACCAGCTCAAGATCTGCCAATAAGAAATTTTGCACCAGTCAATCCACCCCCCCCCCCCCCCCAATCCTGGTGCATTTATATATTGTTTGGTGAACAGTCCTGTGAATAAATTTGAATGCCAATCTAAGGACTGATGGTGTAAAGGGATAATCAGAACCCCTGTCCCAGTTATCAAATGAGTAGATGGTACAATGAATAGGATGAAAGTGTAATTAGGCAACAGCCTAATGTGAAGCTGCAGTCAGTGATTTAATTAGCTAAATTACTAGATGATTTAGTTAATATTAATTTGTATTTTTTCCTTGATATCAGCAACACCACATGCACTTTCCTTTTATCATATGTTAATTAGCCCTCTTTCAGTGTTCTCACCAGGATTTTGCCTTGGGGAGTCCCAGGGCCCCCTCTTCTGAGAAATAGGGGCCCCGTAAGAACATTAGGGGGACAAAGTTACAAAAAACACGCGGTACGAAGAACCTGAGCCCGCACTCCAAATTGTCTGTTACAGAGAAGTACCTACCTGATCCAATATGGCAGAAGAGGTGTTTAGGATTGGGAGGAGGAGTTTACGATGTAGTGGGACGTGCGTGGGACTAATGAAAGTAAAGGCAACAAAATTAAAGACTTTGACTCATTCGATATCATGTTTTTTATTTATTCAAACAAACAGAATGCTTTAGTGTTAGGTTGACCATTAAAACTACTTAAGTCCGTTTGATTCGTAGCTTGCCCCTGTGCCCTAACAGGCGCATCTTCTTGGTTTTAATGCGCCATTTCAGTTTTTCTTGCGGGAATCCCGCAAGGCCGCGGCTTGGTGAGAACACTGCTCTTTGCCTCCATCTGAAAAGAAATTTTACCTTAAATGAGGCATCAAGGGCCAAATTTAATAAAAACACAAGACTAACTAGATTTGCTACCATTTGGGAATACTCTGTCCCGGCGGGGTCGACTCCACATATGAAAGGGGTGGGGATGTTCATCAGAAATTTTGAATTAAACCCCTAAAGGAGACCGATCCGGGCGTAGCCCAAGCTTTTTTTGACCCCTAAAAGAGACCATGTTAAAACACAGACAAATGAGAAAACTTGGATTATATGAAGGGAGTGAATAAAACGAATTAAAAAATTTACATATCAAATATATTTTTTTTTTAGTAAAATCCAACTAGTGGTCTATTATCAATGCCGTGTTCTAACACTACTAGGCTATATGTTATAGCCCACTAGTAGTAAAAATCGTGGGCTTTTTGGTGGCAAAAAAGTCTAGCTTTAACAGCTAGAATTTTGTTATTCTCGATATTTTTGACCAACTAGTTGGATTTTACTAAAACAATTATTCCTCTCTGCCCTCATGACCCCTGAGTCAATAGCCCATTCGGCCTTTGGCCTCATGGGCTATTGACTCAGAGCCCATTCGGGTTCGAGGAGTTTAAATAATGTTTTCACGTGCAACCTTAAACGAGACTTTCATGGCTAAATTGGCTAAATATGATGGCGTTTTGCGCAGAACACCCTAAGTGAGATCAAAATCCGAAATTTACACCCCTATATAAAGTGAGATGATGAGCATCCCCACCCTTTTCATATGCGGAGTCCCCCTTGGGTACTCTGTATTGTGTTCTATATGATAAATGAAAATGATTCAAGAAATTGTAATGTATTGTGGTCTTTATCTGCTTTTTTATGACCGTGTACTTGCGTGCATCTATATAGGTCCATTGAGTATTGTGCTGTTAACCCAAGGCACACTGGAATTTCTCATACAGAGACTGGTAAGACCTAATAAAAGCAACATAGCAACAGTCATTTTTAAGTAAATCTCAGTGAAATATGTGGAGTATTTTAGGAATGGAATCAGTAGATTATTACTAAGTTGTCAACCTAGTAGCACTTGTAGGGGCACATGCTAGCTGGCCAGCATCTTACATAAATTGCACATTTAGTAAACTCATAATGTTTGGTTCAGGTACTACAAAGTCATAAGTAGAAAATAATTTACCTTTCAGACAACAGACGAGTATCCTGGTGTTGTCCTCAATTCAATCCTGGCACTGGAAAAGTTTGCACAGACAAGTATGTATTAATTTACAATAAATTAAATGTATAACACGTACTGCTTAGTCAGCAATCATGTTTACCTAAAATATGATGACCATGTAATAAATATATGTATTCCAAGTATGTCCGGGCATTACTAAGAATACTGAAGCACTCATAAAATAATTCTTGGCAAGTGCAAGATCTGATCAATGTGAACAATTCTTGACAGGCGAAAACAAGCTGACCATTCGAGATACTGGCATAATGGAGTTGGTTGCACAGATTGAAAGAGAGTGGCTTGGAAGCAAGGACTTTGAAAAACACCAGGCTGGATTTTGTTCTCAGTGGCTTCTAGACAATTCATGTAAGTAGTGTGCAAATTTTATAGGTATCAATTAACCCTTTTAGCCCTAATATCCATATATAAACTCCTCAGGCTGATCTGAAGGAAATAGTGGAGGGGTGTGGATCGTTTTGTTCTTTGAAGCCACCCCATTTGAGGACAAGGTCTCAACAATTTTTTCACCAATTATGTCTTCAAAATTTCCCACCATTGCACTGTCATACATATTCCTCTCACCAACTTTCTAATAGGCCATTTCAGAGTTCCCCTTGGCTTCTGTTTCAAAACGAGGGTTGGTGCTCAACCTTTGATATGGAAACCTTCTTTAATTCTCATGCAAATAAAACTCATTTTCACAAGAAAGGTTGTGCACCTAGCCTCATTTTGAAAGTTAGGGTTTTTGGAACTCGAAAGTGGCCTATTCGGATGGCATAGAGAATGTTCTTCAACCAAAAGTAAAGCTCAGTGTGGCAGCATCTCTTCTGAGCTACTCTGTATCGTATGAAGCAATCAGCTCCTAGGTTTAAGACTTGGGTGACCTCAAAAGTTGTTGATAATGTTGATAATACAAGTTCATCATTCTTGTAAATCAATGTGGACTCAAAGTTTTGGATCAAGTTATTTACTAAACCACTTGCTGTGTTATCTTTTTTCCACATGTCTTTTTCTGTGCTGACAGTTTCAGTTAATGTAAGTTGAATAATAAAATTTATTCTATATTGTTTAAACTACATTATTATATAATCAAATTAATTAATTAAAATGTATATTTTGGAGGAGGCATCATGGCCGAACAAGTTAGAGCGCAGGACTGGCAATCCAAAGTCCACATATTCAAGTCCCACCCTATCCACTGACTGCATTTGTTCTTTAGCAGTCCCAAGTTCAGTTGAATGGCCATGCTTGTAATAAGCCAACTGGTTTGGACAACAGGATTGCCTCCAACCTGCTGGAATGTAAACTTGTTTGGTTATTTCCGTTCTTTGTTTTTGTCCTTTTTTGTGGACTATGTAAAGCACTGGATTGCCAACAATGATTGTTTTACCCCTATGAAGTAATTCTGTATTTTCAATTTCCTGTGAAAGATATTTTTTGAATATTTCATAACGTATTTTGCTTTCAGAACCGTCCATACTCATATGAAATAGCAGATTTAAGCAAGATTAATGTCATGCTTAATAACAATGATGTCAGTGATTATCTAAAAATATCACCCACAGGGCTTGAGGTGAGTAATGGATTTATTTACTTATTTAATGACAAAATAGTTTTGTTATTAAAATTTATTACAGTGGAACATCAGTCAAGGGGTTGCACTGTGATGAACACAGACATCGAATCTCTGTTGAGTCTCTTTAAATTCTTTATTCAATTGAGTGAATGTGATTTCTGTGGCTGTTGTTTAAAGGTGCATATTTATTTTAGCCTTTTTTCTGCTGTAAATATATAGATGGACTATATTTTAATTTCAGTTAACTTTAATGAACAGTTTCTGTGGCTGTCTCCAGATTAACTGTCTGGTTGCATAAAGGCCCGAGTATTTTCAATTTCCTTCCTTTCCTTGACTCCTTGTTTTATTTTTTAACTGGGACTCATTGGTTATGGACAGGGATTTCCACAAGAAGAGTCACAGAACTCACAATGACTTTTTGTAACAAAATCACTGCTTTTTGCACGAATACCCACTGAATAACACTACATCCCTCTCTACCTAAATAGCAGATTTCTCTGCCCTTCATATATATACTTGAAGCCTGAAAAAGGCACCCCTTCAGGGGCGGAGCCACCCGGCATGGGGCTTTGTAGGGAGTATCCCCTAGGTACTTGCCATATACGTTTTGTACAGAAGCTATTAAAAGACTTCTAGTTGCCCAATGTCACGGGCTACCAGCTGCTACTAGAGTGCAGCCCTAATTTGTTGTGTATGAAGTAGGTTCAAGTTAGGTTCACTTCATTGATTGAACAGATAAGTGGTCCACAAGTGGGTATGTTAAATGTCAGTAGAAAACAACTAGCATAACATCACAATTCTGCGATACTCACCATCTATTGCATAATAGACAGTAAGTAACGAGCCGGTGTTTTGGCGATGCTTCTGAGAAAATAGTAGATATACCAAATTTTGATGATGAATGCTACGGCCACAAAGTATGGAATGAACAGACGTTTTTAACGTCTATAAACGAGACATCATGTACATTGTATGGTAAAAACTTGAACTTTGCCTTCGTTTTTAAAAGATATTTTTAATAGCCTTTAAAATGTTTCAGGCAAGATGCGATGCGTCCTCTTTTGAAAGTGTGCGGTGCACATTTTGTGTCTCATCTGGTAAGTATTAGGACTATAGTATAAAAACACAACTTTTAGTGTAGTGTGGTTTTTTATACGTGAGTGTATTGTTTAGAAATGTTATTTTAAAAATAGGAAAGTAAAACAAGTGTAAATTCGTATCTTCGGAGAACATTTTTTAAAAGTTTGAAGGTCTCTATCACAGAAGCTTCATCAGTGAAACGAGGTGTGAAAATACGGCTTTTCTGGGGCTTATGCTATCACGTGAACCTTTTATATGACGTGACAACTGATGACTGAAGCCTTTATCTCTGTTAGGTTTGGGTTGGAATATAGGAGTTGTTTGACTAGTTGTTTGCTTTGCTTAGGGGAGCAGGGATGGCGCAGTGGTGAGAGCACTCGCCTTCCACCAATGTGGCCTGGGTTCGATTCGCGGACTCGACGTCATATGTGGGTTGAGTTTGTTGTTGGTTCTCTTCTCTGCTCCGAGAGGTTTTTCTCCGGGTACTCCGGTTTTCCCCTCTCCGCAAAAACCAACATTTCTAAATTCCAATTCGATCCGGAATGCTCGAGCGTTTAATACATGAGCCCCTGGCTCGGGTGATTGGGCAACCACTCCTCACGCTATCGAGCTTAAATAAAATTGAGTTGATTTGATTTGATACTTTGTGTGTTCCAGGTGTATGGTATTATGAAGTGACTCTGCTAACAGCAGGGGTAATGCAGATTGGCTGGGCCACTAAAGACAGCAAATTCCTTAACCATGTAAGTTACAAGGGGTACGACCTTAAATTCAAAGTACCCGTTTGAAAGCTACTTGAATGGGGCATAAGATATTACAAAGTTTGCCTTAATACCGTGTTTGAGCTAGGGAAGGCCGCAGAGCTAGAAAAAAGTGCCGTCTGGTAGTCCAAAACACGTACTACATTTTCTTGCTGGGTAAGTACCTTTTAAAGCTTACTTGCCCAGCATTCAGGCAAGGAGCTGCTTGTCCAAAGGACACGCTGGAATTCAGGGGGTTTTTTTTCAAGCTTTGGAAAGGGTTTTCATTTTTAGTTCAAATCGAGACCCACGGGGGTAGGAAAAACTGTTTTGAGAGCACCCACCCCGTCCCCTCGTATTTCGGTCTCAATCCCAGGCATAACACTAATTATCATTTGACGCGACCACACGAGAGCCGTGAAAAACTTCGTCGTAACGAAACTGGATACCCCGTTTTACAGAGTCCCCAAAGGACACCGTTGAGGGGTAACAGGGGGAAGTACCCCACCCGTCCGAGTTTTCAAGCCGGCAGATTCGTACTAGTTTCTATGTGTTTTATATTTAGGAAGGCTATGGTATTGGTGATGATGAGTATTCTTATGCATATGATGGCTGCAGGCAGCTTATCTGGCATGGAGCACGGAGTACACCCCATCACCACAAACCTTGGAAACCAGGTCAGTATACTACAAGGTTTTCCTAAAAAAAATTCCGTCATTAGAGACCTTAAGATCGGACAGATCGAGGCTTTTCGGCATTTCCTAAGAACTGCGAACGTCAAGAAGTGAATCGTGATCAGTACCTTACCGTTAGTTTTGCGTCACCTTCCAGAGGTAAGTGATTTATCGCAAGGTTTTTTGCAGCCTAAAACTTCACAATAGAGACCTTATGATCAAGGTTTGGTCATTTTACTGCAAACGACAAACTGCAGTTTGCGGTTAACGGTTTCACGTTACCCGTCTGCCCATATTTGGGGCTTAAGATTCGCGGGTGGTAGCTTGCGGCTGCCATGTTTGTTTTCATTCATCGACTTACTTCTATTTTAGCTCAGAAATTGTCTTAAAAATAACGTTTTTTAAATTTTTTAAGATAGAATTCGATAATCACCAGGCAAAAGAGTTCTGAAAAGCCGTATCTCTTCTCAAATGTAGGATTATGTTTTAGGATCGAAAAGACCCTTGCGGTAAAACATGAACCTCTATTAAACCGCGAACTTGACGGCAATGCCCTGATCACGTGACTTCTTGACGTTCTCGGTTCGCGGGAAATGCCGAACGTGCAAAAGGACGCAACATGTAACATCCAGCAATGTTGGGAGTTGTTGGCAAACAATGTTGCATCCTTTTGCTGTAGCAGAAGCAACGACGACGACGACTTCAACGAGAACAGCAAAAAAGCGATAGGTTTAGATGAGCAAAACAACAACTTTGCACGTGCATCACGCTTTTAGGTACATTTCTTTGCTCTCTGTCACTGCACGACTACGACGTGAAAATGCCTAATTTCACGTTTCGTGGAGGACTTGAACACAAGACAACGACTTTCTTTTTCTCTTCCTGAACTTTGATACAGTCTTTTCGAATTCAACTCCAGGAAAAGTTGCAAACATTTGACGAATTGAAAGAGCTGGAATAAGCGCGAAAAAATTTGAAGCAGTGCGACTTCTTTTTTTAAGTGACGTTTTCGTACCCATCGCCATTGCTGTTGCTTAAGCTCCGTATTCTCTCCGTTGCGGGGTTACAGAGTGTACAAGTAATAAGCTGCTCAAAGGTATTAAACTACATGCGTTACATTTTTAGGTGATGTCCTTGGACTACTCATAGACTTACAGAGAGGGAAAGTCAAATTTTCGCTGAATGGCAGTGAGATTGAAAGAGATTTTAAAGAAGCACTATCCGGGTAAATAAGCGTATAGTTTTAATATTTTGGTATCAAACTTAATCTTCAAGCTATGGAGTTAGTAAACTGAATTCACAACCACGCAACTCATCTTTGAAAATTACGCAGATCTCCGTCGTAGATTAATTAAACTGAAGGCGATTTCGTTTTGATGTATGTGCCTGGTGCCTGTGTAGTGGTTCAATTTTATCCTTAGTTTAAATTTTATTTCCCTTTGTTTTTGGGTATGGTTATTTATGATAATGAGTTTGAAACAAAGGAGAATGAAATTTAAACCAAGGATAAATAGGCCATAGTCCTATTCGGCTAACTCAATGTTGTACCCAATTCAAATCTCCCGGGGATAAGATTCTTTGTGTATTGTATTTGCATTATAATGTGGCATTCACATTTAAATGATATGGAAATTCCTGAAACAAAACGTTTTATTCCCAACGGGTTTGAATTGGGTACAACATTGAGTTAGCCGAATAGGTCTACTTGCACGATGGCGTCATTTTACTACCACGACCAGAATGCTTTTCGTTTTTCCTTTCATATCTAAATTTGGTAGCCCCAGTGGGGTTTAAATAACAAAAGCCCTAATTTGCACAAGAAAGCTAAACCCTGAAAGGATCCTGGTCATAGTAGTAAAATGACGCCATCATGCAAATGGACTATTGAACCACAACATTCTGTTAGCGCACTTTGTTGAGTAAGTTGAGGCAACGGCGTTAAAATTTCTCTTTCTCTGAATGGCTTCAAGAGGATTTTTACGAAATTTGGCGTTAAATATTTGAGCAGAAACTGTAAATGTAATGTGATTTGAAAACTTTCGGTCCAAGCGTCTACTCTTGTTTGTTAACTACACTAACACAAACCTGTTCTCCTTCTTCCCTAGAGCTGGATTCTTCGCTGCTGCAAGCTTTATGTCCTTTCAACATTGCATTTTTAACTTCGGAGCTCAACCGTTCAAGTAAGATTGGGCCCCCGAGAAGAGTTACAACTGAAAACGGCTCGACTATTTGTAGAAGCTTACGAGAGCGGAGCCTATACCTACTAATGTGGTGACATTCCTTGATCACAAAAATCGTGGCGCATGCTGAGACCTTGAGCACGTGCGCATGCATGGTAGTTCGCCTAAGGTAGTCAGGTTTTACGATTACTCGCGCGAACGTCATCTTTCTTGTTCAAAATCCCCGTTAAATTTTATAGTGTAGTTGTTGTCAGTAATCGTTCGAGATCGAGGTCCACCTTTTTGAACGCAGAAAAATGACGATATAAAAATCATTAGGCAAACATCCCCATTGAACATGAATAATGCGTGTGCCTTATATGGTCAATACTACATCCTCCACCATCTCCCCAACCCACCTTCCCATTGCACTCCCTCCTTTTAAAATTAGCTCCAAAGAAAGATTCTGAAGTAGACCATCTAAAAATCAGACACTATATGCAGATAATGTAGTATTAATTTGTCATCAATGGCAGGTTTCCCCCACAAGTGTCATTTAGCAGTTTCAACGACCACGCCAACATGAAAGCGGAGGACAAAATTATTTTACCTAGGTGAGCCTTAGAGTGATCCTTCATCTTGTGTCCTGAAATTGAAACGTACTTCATTACTTTGACTACCCTGGTTGCCAGAGACCGTTCATGCGTGGTGTCCGGTTTTGGTCAAACCCAGGGTATAGATCGTTTTTACTGTCACACAACAAAAAAATAAATTGGAAACCTTCCAGTGGAAGAAGCCAAGAAAATGAAATGTTATAAAAGACTAATATATAAACAATTTATCCAAGTCTCAGGTCTTTGTGGCCCACAGTTTCTGAGTTATGTGCCGAAACGTTTCACGCACCTTTGTAGAGTTTTGTATGGAGACGCCATATTGGTCTACCGTTTTGGTGCACCAATATGGCCGCCGGAAATCAACAAAAATATCTGGAGTTCACTTTTTCTATAAAAGCTCTTTCTTTTCACTCGAGAACTAGCATACGTGCGCATAAACATATCTTCAAATACTTGAAATGGTTATACTGCTGAAAATCAAGAGGAGAGACTTTTTTTCAACGAGACAGCATTCCTATTTTGGTGTCACGCACTGTGAAAACTCGGAAGTTCAAATTGCTGTATTTTCGAAATGAAACATGTTACGGGGATGGAAACTAGTACAAAGATTTTCTTTTTGTTTATCTTCAACCCAGTGTAAATAAGAATTCGTAAAACCTCGCTATTTTGACTTTACAATTTGATGAGGTCACAGTGAAAACCGTCTATACTTTGGATAGTCTTTGCGCAGAAATTCACATGAACCAATCAAATCTTGAAGCAAACATGTGACGCCGGTGCGAAGCGCGGGAAAAATTGTGTGAGGTTCATCAACCAGTCACACAGTCCAACCGGGAGATGCGAAACAGTAAACACTTTCACTAGTTCCAAGGGAAACGGTTAATTTTGCTTGCCGAGTTTCTCAATATTGAGAGATTCATTGAGATTTGAAGGAAAACTTAAATTAACTGGTTTCACGAGGGACCAGTCGTTAAGTGTTTTGTGATGTAGCCCATAAAGAAAAACATCTTCGCGTACAACTTTATGAAAGTAAATCTCAGCGAAAGGTTAACATTCATAAGTAGCGGTACTCTGTATTCTGTAATAGTCACAAAGCGATCACAGGATTCCCAAGATGTTATCCGCGTCACCGGCTCGGTAACTAGTCGGCCAACAACAACAAAGCTTCGAGTAATTTCAAGGACGGCCCTTGCCTCATCTCTGCACGAAATAGATGTTGGTGCTAGACGAGTTTTAATGCTTGTTGTAATGTTAACTCAGAGGCGTTTCCTTGTTCTTTGTAGACATTTAAAGCTCGCAGCTATTCGCCAAGAGAGCGTTACTGGTGATCCATGTAAAATATGCTATGAGAACGCTGCTGATACCAGATTAGAACCCTGCAATCACAGGTAAGGTACAAAATTTAGAGGCCCATGTACATGAAAGATAAAATAGTATGACTGTAAGTCGATGCAAGCACGATGACGTCATATTGTTACTGCTGTTGCTGCTGCCTGCTGCTGCGACTGCGATGACTAGGACCACCACTACCACTACCATTACCACCACCACTGCGACTACCACCACCACTACCACTACCACTACCACTACGACTACCACCAGCACTACCACTACCAACACCACTACCACTACCACCACCACCACGACTACCACTACCACCACCGCCAGCACTACCACTACCATTACCAACACCACTACCACTACCACCACCACTACCACCAGCACTACCACTACCAACACCACTACCACTACCACCACCACCACCACTACCATTACCACCACCGCCACCACTACCACTACCATTACCAACACCACTACCACTACCACCACCACTACCACCAGCACTACCACTACCAACACCACTACCACTACCACTACCACCACCACTACCAACGCCACTACCACTACCACTACCATTACCACTGCCACTACCACTACCAACACCACTACTACTATTGTGTGTGTCGACTTCAGACATTTCAGTCCTACTGGTATGCACAGGCCCGTAACCAGGATTTTATGTGGGGTGCTAACGAGGCCAAAGCGGACCCAACTACGGAATTGTATTTTTTATCGTCTGATCCGTTCATTTAGGAAAGTAGCAATACATGAGAAATTGTAACGGCAAAGAACATGGTAGGAACTGAATATTACATTTTTCGAATACAACTGTTTGAATTTAGTTATAAAGGAGTAATTTTACGATGTAAAATGATACATCAAAATACTGCGGAACTAATCCGTCAGAACAGTTCCGAACTCCAGCCTCCTTGGGTGTAGCGACTAAATCTCAGAGCGTAATAATGGGATCAAGACTGGTGGACATTGCGAAAATGAGTATGATTTACCGTTTATATCTCGCTGTAAAACTGTAGTTAACTGAGATAGATCTGAAGTCGTGGTTTCAGCTGGGCTGTCGTCGCAGACTGCACTGTCATTGTCAGCGTCTGATAGCTCTTGACGGGGTACTTTACTGACCCATTGCACAGGAAAAAATAACGTATTCCCATTTTTGGATATTTTAGGGTATTTAAAGAATACCCATATAAATCCCAAATTTGGCAAAGTGAGACAAGTCCCAACCAGGGAATTCCCAACCAAGTTCCCAGATTGGGACTTGTCTCACTCTTCCAAATTGGGATTTTGTGGGTATTCTTTAAATACCCTAAAATATCCAAAAATGGGAATCCGTTATTTTTTCCTGTGTTGTATCGAGAGACTGGCAAGATTTAGCTGCAGCCTTCCTTTTTCTATTTTCCTGTTCTCTCCTACCCATAACGTATTACACAAAAAACTAATTTTGCATCTTCAGGCGTTCATGCGCTCGTACAAATAGAGAATACTACCCGACGCGTTAGCGGACGTGTCTGACAAAAATCGTGAGATCGCTCCCTTGTCATTGTCTCGCTCGTCGTAAACTCCCGTGCAAAGCCTGCGCCCCGGGGTCTGCGCACGTTAATTTCATTATTCATTTACATAAGCTCGGACATCTGTGCGCTCATTGAAATGCTCTGAATGGCTCGGGCTACTAGAGTGTAGCTGGTTTTATTTTCCCAGTGAATACACCACTGCTTTTTCCATTCTTTGATTTTGTTTAAATATCACTGCACTGTTAAGTTTGAAACTTCAGTGTAACCGACTGCTAACTTGGATATTGAGTATCAAAATGCGGACCTTTGGGGCCTGTGGGGAGGTGCGAACGCACCCCGTGCACCCCCCTGGTTACGGGCCTGATGCATGATGTTTGTCACATCAACAAAGTTTAATGGCGTCGGTTCCCACGAGTCTCCTTTTGCTCAGTGGTTGCGCATCTGGCCCCAATTTTTGGAAATGTGGATAGCGCTTTCCACTGCGTAAATCACTATTCAGCGTATAACGCAATCGGTCTTCGTAATACTTTTCCACTGGGTAGTGATTTATCCGGTGGATAGCGCTATCCAACTTTTGAACAACCGAAGCCTGGTCTGTATTTGTAACCAGAAAACCAGGCAGGATCAACTTCCATTTTTTTTTCCGAGTCTTCTCGATCAAAGCCTGAGAAACATCAGTTCTTAAACTTTTAAATGTTTAGACTATACTGCCAATGTTTGCAGTGAGCACTTACCGTCAGCACCTTCCCTCTGAGCTCCCGCCCGCACAAATTAAAAAGGTACCTTTCCTTTCATGATGTGGAAACGTTCCTCATCTAATGCATTACAAACGGGTGTAAGAAAACATACAACACTGAATGAAGGAAAAGAAAAAATTAAACAGAGAACGACAAGTTCTACAAATCACCCGTCGAAAAGTGTTGTGGTCGGAAAATATCCCGTAACATCGCCCCGTGCGCCTTTTGTATTGTTTTGTCTCATTCGTCCCCATGTCTGTCAATCGTCTGAAATTTCACTCTTCATCTCATTTTTAGGGACGTCTGCATGAAATGTGCAATACAAATGGAGGACTGTCCCTTGTGCAGAAAGCGCATTGAAAACAGAGTGTTTGAGATACATAGCGCCCCAACATCACCAAAGGACACCAGCTGACAGCGGCGCATGCTCAGTTAAAAAATCCATGAAGCTTAGTCTCAATAATAACCTCTTACTTTATTAAATGAAGACGCCAATCAACACCGTTACGTTTGGACGCGTATCCAAGAAGGGTTCATAATGCTTCCCTGTAGTGTCTGTTTGTAAAACAAAAGCGCTTAAAGAGAGACATTTCAAAAGCGGGTATAAGCCCAGCCACCAAGCTTTTCTTCTTCGTTCTCTGGCCCTTTGCTTGTCACGCAACGTACGTCATGACGTCACTGGTTGCACGACAAGGCGTTTAACAGCAAGTTCGAGTCTCGGAGAAAGCTCTGCGAAAGGATGCAAGCACCTTATTGAGCTGGGGCCTTTAAAATATACGTTCACCAATTATAACGTTACTTTTTAGACAATTTGCAGTCCGCGTGACATGTTTAACAGTTATTGACATGAGGTTACATTTACAAACTGTGAAGTTTCATAGGAGATCTGATTTAAATAACGGGAAATATATTTTTCCTAATGCGTTTGCTTTTATTTATTGTTTTTCTTCTGATTACTCTTTTTTCCAATGATGTTTTTGTACGGTGACCACGCATATTTTTCTATTTAACTTCTGCATTTCCCACATTTAGAAGCATACCGATACGAACTTCACATCATTGTTGTAAAGAAGAGGACCTCGATTTTGCAATGTATTTAGTGTTTGAAGATGTCACCCTGGCTTTTTCTCGGCAGCCATGTCGGTTGACAAGAGCAAAAGTTTTTCTCTCCGCTGGGAACTAAATTTTTTTTCATTTCTTGTTTTGTTCACCAACATGGCCACCTTGTCACGTGATTGGAAACCAAGAATAGACTATTTTCGAGTTGCCCCAAGCCTCAGTTTCAAAGCGAGGCTAAGTGCGTAAATAGAACTCATTTTTACATTCTTGCACTTAGCCTTGGCCGTTTAGTAGTTGAGAGTTTTTGGAACTTAGAACTGGTCTAGTGAAGTATTGGTTCCGAGGCTGACGCACAGAGGAATAAACAATAAAAATAAATTATTATTGTTTTATACCCATTAGCCTTGGACCCAAGATTGAATTTTAATACTTCCAAAGTGGCCTGTTCCCAAGTATAACAAAGCTGTGAAACAACCATCTTTAATAGCCCTTAGTCTTGGTTTGCAACCACTTTCTAGGGCGGCCATATTGGTGGTCAGTGTAGTCATTATCTATAATAGAAATTTTATTCGCAAAATTCGCAAGGAAAGAGACAAAGGTTTGCAGCCGAGGGAAACGCTTTTGTTCTTGATCAGCAATAAGTAAATCCTTCATGACGTCATTGTTTATGGTTTGCGTTTGTTTATGGTTTAGCATGCGACTTCACGTCAAGAAGGCATTGCGTAAAAAAAGAATCGAGCTTGTTTATCGTAGTGAAATATGGATTTTTAGCTCGTTATGTAATCTTGTATATAAGGTAAACGGCAGAATTTCTGGGTAGCAAAAGCGCCAATGCACAACATTAGGTAAAGAGTATCTAGTATATCGGGGAAAAAGTTTTAGAAACAACTTGCTGTCCTATGTGGTATCAATGCTCGAGTTGGTATTTTTATAGTTAGTTTAGAGGATGACGAACATATGCTAATGAGACAAATATTGTAAGCAAAGATTCATAATCTGTAAAATAAATTCATCACGTCAGAAACGAAAAGGAAGCTGAGCCGAGTTAACTTTCGCAAAGACTTCTGGTACTGTTACTAGGTACAGGGAAAAAAATTGGCCAATAGCTGACCGAGCGTTCCAAGTAACCATCCCAGAAACAATTGCGGGACGCATTTGGCTCCAGTTCCCTTTCCGTTTTAAAGTTGCGCATCATTTCAGTGTGACCTTAAAATGATTGTAAAATAGTTGTGCCACTAAATGAGTAAAAGACGTAAGTGCTTTGTTCCTTTAAAAACCGGAGCTTAGAATTTTTATAAAAAAGGTTAAAACTTCGTAATGTTAAAATTCATTAAATGAAAAAACAAACAAATAAATAAATAATAATCAGAGTTTTACAATCCTGTGGTCCATTAGTCCTTTCTCTTTTTTTAAGGCCCTTTTTTCGTGCTATTTTTAAGCAATTTTTGGACCTAATCGCGCATGGTAACTATTGTAGCTGCGATTTATTGGCGATTTTGTTGCAGTGGTTGCTGTAGGGCGCATGTGAGACTAACTGTTCAAGGGTTAGCGCGCGGTCGCGACAAACTAACATCGACTTACGTTCGGTTGGACTCCTTATGAAGCCTATAGGAAACACCATTCACTTGGTTTCCTAACCCTGAACACTTGAGGTTACGTTTACACGTCACCGCACGATTTTTCAACCAGCTTAAAAATTTGTCCGGACACTTTATTCACACGGAACTGGCCCGCGTTGTTCAAACGTTGGATAGCGATGTCCACCGGAAAAATCGCTTTCCAGCGGATAAGCATTAGCGAAACCAATTGCGTTATTCAATGGATAGAGATTCATCCAGTGGATAGCTTTATCTACCTTTTGAACAACCAGGGCCGGTTCAATATATTCGCTCTGCTCACACGGAACTGACGAACCAGGATGAACTTTAACTTATGCATATTCAAAATGGCGTCTCCCACCTGAGTTACCACGCAACCACGCCTTTACCGTACAAACATCTTGGGATTCACACGGCGAAAGCAAAAACGGTGATTTCGCAACGTAGACAATTGAATTCTGCAAAGCTGATTGGACTACGTGAAAACAACAACACGACACCGAAATAAACCAAAACAGAGCGGGGTTATGGCCGACGACAGCTGTTTCGCCATTCTTGTGGCTCATCAGTACGGCGCAACAAACAAAAAAGCTCTGCTGAAAATTACCCGCTCACTCTGATTTGAGCCCTGACATTGAACTCCAACTCGCAAAGAAAATACAGGTTGGCCATTGTACTCATTGGCAATTTAGGCTAAGTAGGTTCTTAATCAGTAAGGTTCTTAATTTTTATGAAGGAAATAATTAATTTAATTTCAAAATATTTAATATATAATAGACAATTATTTATTCACAATCTTATAATTATAAGCCTAACAAAACTGATTACCGAATTTATATACAATTTAGTACACTATCATCTTGTTACACCAAAATTAAGAAATCAAATTTTACATTCCTATGTTAAATTGATTATCATTATAACTCACATATAAACACCTGCTTGATCTTTCTTGGCTAAACAGGTCCTTGTATTTTGGGGTATTAGACAGCAAATTTCTTCCAGGAGGTTCTTAATACACAGGCCTCATAAGCGGGTGTTTACCATATTGCAACATTTATTTATCTATTTATTTATTTATTTATAACAACTTTATTTGTAATAATCAATACAAAAAGGCTGCCATCAGGGAGGAACTGAATCCTCATGTAAGATGACCCCCTAAAACATACAGCTAATTCTCATACATACAGCTAATTCTCTAAGGTCGTGAGTGGACATTTTAGGCAACTGTTTCGAAATAGTTCCTTTAATCAATATAATTGCGCGTTGAATTGATAATTTTAATAATACATCTCTAATATAACTAAGCTTATTTTGAAAATGTGACTGCACTTAAGTTCTTGTAGTTTCATCATTTTTTGTCTGATAAAAACTAGGAATGGGATCATTGCTGCAATGTTCGGTAATTACGTTTTCAAACAGCCAGCTAATTTCATTTCACTATTACTAAAAAATTAATTTCATAATCCTACTATCTGTTCTGTTCACCGATACTCTATTTGGTGTTTGGTTGAAGATTAATGCTCGAGTCAGCTGCTTAACACAGCTTTGGGCTTAACTTGCAGATTAACTTGCTCCTTGTGAGGAAACGGCAGGGGCGAAAAGAGGCGGGAGATTTGCCCCTTCAGCCATCAGGGCCTCTATTTCAGGCACTGTACGTGGAACGCAAGTCATAAGCTCCATACCGTCTGACGTCACAACAATGTCATCTTCAATACGAACCTACACGAAAGATAAATATGAGAGTATTTGCACACGTATCCTGCGCGAAAGAACGAACTAAGTCCGTCTACGAAACAGGGTCCCGTTTCTCGAAAGGCCCGGAAACTTTTCGGGCCCGACGGCAAATTTTAAAATCCAAACCAGATGAATAGTAACACAGTTCCTAGCCCACAAACGAGTCAGTTTTGCTTGGTAAACTTATAGTTTCATTGCATTACTCTCAAAATTATTGAAACTTTGCTCTTGAATGCAAACACAACAAACGCAAAACAGCTTTCCGGGCCCGAAAAGTTACCGCGGGAATTTAAGAGAAACAGGCGCCAGGTGTCCCGTTTCTCGAAAGTCCCGTTAATTAACGGGCCCGGTAAGCTGTCTCCGTTTACATTAAAGATTGAAATTTCAATAGTTTTACATCTAACATGATAAAACTATCAGTTAATGAAACAAAATGGAGTAGTTTGCTATCTAGGACCGGCGCTCATATTCTTTATATTTCGATTTGAATATTTGATTCCGGGGCCCGAAAAGCTACTGGGTCTTTCGAGAAACGGGCCCCAGGAACGAAATCACCTTTTATGGGTCCCCACCTGTGTATCAGGATTTGAGGACGCGCTATGATTAACCATTTAAAAAGCCATTGTGGATTTGCCAATCAGGATGAAGGGAACTTCGAAACGCATTTTCGTATTTCGTTGAGTTCGTTGGGGGCCCAGAACTAGGATACCCGCTTTTTGGCTGAAGTCACTAAAAAAGTGTGTCCCTGTTAAGCATTTGCTACTTAAGCAGTTAATCAGTTCTTTAAACTGATTGCGTAGCGTTGTTTTAATAGACTAATACGATCTGACCATTAAACGAACCAATCAGAATTCGAGTAAGTATACAGAGTGGCGCAAAGTGTGGAGAACTCGTACGGTAACGACTCGTGAATTTTTGGGTTGTTTGTAAAAGTGGCGGAGATTTTCAACCAATTACAAACGTAGCAATGGAAAACCAAAGCATCAGGAATTCATTAAAATCCACTCTATAACATAAAAACCAAGAGAAATTCAGGTATTTTGCCGTCCCTGTAATTTACTTTTGGACGAAAGGAACATTTATAAGTACTCACCCCTCCAAAATTCCGGAATCGTTGCAGCATTTCTTGGTTAAAGAACCGCGCAGTTTCGGGGTTTTCTAAAGCTGGGTTTAAGGTCTAAACACGAAAGAAAAATAAAAAAATAGCAATGAGATTAATCAAATAATCGCACAAACATGAAGCCTAGGTAAAGATGATACTTACAGCGTCGATAAAATAAATCCCTGGTTCAATGGTGAGTACCATGCTCTTTTGAAGGACACGGGTAGTCCTAAGCGAGCGGAGGCCTGGTTCTTCTATCCGCTTGGTACCCTGGCGAGCAGCAAAAGCAAACCAATTTAAAGCCTGTGGTATGACCTTTCCCGCCACCTACCCTCTTAGGGCTGTATGTCTATTCCCATCAGCTCTAGGGAACTACCGAAGTGTGCTTAGGTCGAACTTAAGGACGAAGCACTCACTCATATACATACATCTCACGATTACGGACAGTCAGTTAATGAAGAAATCAGCTGAATCCCTGAACGAAGATCAATTCACGGCTCACGGGTGTCCCTAATAACGGTAGACTGTTCACAGTCCCCTATTTTTCCGTGTGATCGTCGAGATCGAGCGCGTCTTACCGTTAATGGCGGCCATCTTGATTTTCAGTCGTACCGAGTCTAACCTGGGGAAGAGTATCAAATCTACTTAAGGGGGCGGGGGACGGTAGAGCTATAATCCTCGACGCCCGCCCCCTCGGTACATCTAAAAATCAAGATGGCCGCCATTAACGGTAAGACGCGCTCGATCTCGACGATCACACGGAAAAATAGGGGACTGTGAACAGTCTACAATAACGGGAGATAACTGTATTTAACTCTAATAGACCGCCCACTCCAATCACCGTAGGTTAAAAGACAAAACTTAATAAGGTACCTCGGGATATCCACCAACATCATGAACATCGCATCCCATGAAATGGCCAAGACCGTGAGGCATAAAAACGGCCCCAAGGTAACATTTCATCATCTCGTCAACGTCCCCTTGTAAGAGTCCCATGTCCCTTAAACACGTCAGTTGGACGCGCTCTGCTAAACGGTGCATATCGGTCCATTTGACACCTCCGGGGATATAAAGAGAGGACGAATAAACTTTAAGTCCATAGAACTTTGAAGAATATTATAATTATACCTTTCTGTGTTAAAGACGTTAAATTCAGTAGTCAATACAGACATCTCCGGATAACCGCGAGTTAACGACCTCAATTAGAAAAAAAAAATCCTCAACAGCAAAGGTTTATTTCTGTCAAACTTCTGCCGGGGATTATTGCCGCTATCCGTTTTATCAATGTTTCCGTAATAGTGCTTTCCCTATTTTGCCCTATTTCCGACATGTTTTTCACTTTTCTCCAAGAAAAACCCTACTATATGGTTCTTTCACGTTTTCTCGCGAAGCAACTGGCAAAGCGAGGGTGCCCATCTCATCAAGCTGCAAGCGCCTATAAATAAAAGACGGGAGTCTTGGGGCGAAACTCCCACCCTTCTGTGGCTTTGATTGGATGAAAAAACATCGTTTGCGATTCTGATTGGCCGTATCATTTTTCTTATGTATGAAAAACATCGTTCGCGATTCTGATTGGCTAGAACTCATTTGCGCATGAAAATTTACGACTTTATGCATAAAATAAGATATTAAAACAAAGCCGGTATAAACTCAATTCTGTAGATGGAAATCCTTTAGTGTGACCATTAAAAGTGAGACCTCTTAAGTGGTATGTACATTGTACTAAATACATACCACGCACGCCGGCCGGCACTCACCAGGCTTAACAGCCGCCATTACAGCTCTACTGGCCTTGTACACGGCTTCATAAATGTTGCGTTGATCCTCTGTGAACTTGCCATTGGCTGGGAATGAACAAGTGATGTCGGATGTGTAGCAGTAGTATTCTCCGCCCATGTCAAACAAGCTAAAGCAGAAGGAAACCCGTTTTACCATTGACAAACAGATGGATCACTGACTGTATAATGTTATCACATGCTCAGCTGTTGAAGAAATTCAGGAATACTCACCACATGTCGCCATCATTGATCTTCTTGTCATTTGGAGCTCCAGCATGGCCATAATGAAGAGTAGCACAGTTGTGGCCACTAAAACACAACATGAACAAAAAACAAAAAAAATTGCAGTGAAACCACTCGCCTTGACATGACTTGAGTTTGGAACATTCTGACGTCATTCAATCTACAAGTGTATAGACTACGGAAAATTACAGTCGATTTGTTAAACTGAATTAGAATGGGGAGCAAGGGTGGCAAGGTGAATGCACTAACCAATGTCCCCATTTTAATGATGTGGGTTGAGTTTGTTGTTGGTTCTTTCAGTGGGGTTTTTCTCCGGGTACTCCGGTTTTCCCCCTCCTTAAAACCAACACTTTCAAATTCCAATTCGATCTGGAACGCACACACGTTTCAACGACTGTACTAAACAAATAAAATTAAACAAAACAATAAATGGCATACAGTTCCAACCTCCTTTCAGAGGGGTTAAGAAAGAACGACCAAGATAAAACCAAACTAAAATGCAAAGACCACCCAAAATGCAAAGACTGAAGGGTCACGTACGAGAAGTGGTCGTTTACAAGAATGAAACCACACTGGGGTCTCTTCCGAGAAGAGGTCCAGGCACATCTACTTTATGGAAGATAATGTAGGAAATGTGTAGCTCCATGTTGTAACTAAAGTTCTTCGTATATTCTAAGTCACAGTGCGCACACAGCGAAAATAGAGATCAGAGAATGTGTCAAGTGGTCGCTTACAAGAGGTTACAAACAATGGAAAATCATTAACCGTCAGGCCCAAAAAGTGGTCGCGGCCGCGGTCGCTTAAGGAGGTGGTCGTTTACTAGAGGTTTCAACTGGAAGACTTTGATTGGGAAGGTTTTGGTGTTTTGGATTGGCGGTTGCTTATGGGAAGTGGTCCCTTACAAGAGGTGGTCGCACATGAAGGTTCGAGTGTAATTACGAATGCAACTCGTATACTCATTTGGGCACACTCAAGACCAGGACTCTCATTCATGAAGAAACGACCTCTGAAAGCAAACAAGCTTCAAGCATACGAAAGATGGCAAGGAAGACTGTCCACTATAATTTTAATATTCATGTGCACTTTCCCAGAACAACCCCGTTACCTTTACTGGGAAACTGCCCACCTACCCCTTCCTTAAGCCAACATTTTGCCCTAAGTGAAAAGTAAGTGTTAATGTTGGCTTAGGGGAGGGGTAGGTGGGCAGTTTCCCAGAAACGTATAATCCACGACAGTCTTAAATTCTGGATTCCACACTGTGGATTCCGGATTCCTTGTCAGTGGAACTTGGATTCCAGATTCCAATAGTTAGAAGGATTCTGGAATCCTTGAACTGAATTGCGGATTCAAAATCCCAAGATTCCAATTCCACAGGCAGAAATTTCCCACACTGCGGAATCCGGATTACCTATATTGTTATCGCCTTATGGTGTAGTGTATTCCCCTATTAGAATTTGAAATGTTTGTAAATGTACCAGCAAAATGCATGTGCGAAGTTTTTTTAAATCGTATGGCCTGGAACGCAGATGAGTGCCCACGAAAAACCTGCTCACTAGACTGTCTGAGTGTAACATACCTTCCAGCAATGCATGTATATGCCACATGTCGACAACCACCTTGGGAATAACAGAAATGATGGAACAAACTGAAAATAAAAAGAAATTGATGTTGAATGAAACTCTCACCAGCTTTCCTAGGTGGAAGCGCAGTTGCATGACAAGACATATGGCCATAACACAGGCTGAAGTGCAAGAATAAAATATATTCCGGCTTTAAAACAATTATCAAAATTATTGTACATAAGACGTCAAGTGCGATTTCCCAACAAAAACGAAAAAGGGAAAAGGTAATTTAAATGTTACAAGGATAAAGACATTTACACTCAGTTTGGGACTTAAACTTGAGAAAACTATTGCAATAATGAAAAAAACATTCAACTGTTGAGTAAAAATGGGGTTACAAACCATGGCTATGTATGCACACGCAAGGCAAAAAGCGTTTTCCTGCAGTGTTCAGTCCCGCAATTGACTAGGTATAGCCTGTTGCTAGTCAACGTGAATTCCCGTGAACACAAGCTTAGGACAGCGGAAAAAGATGCAACGAGGCGATAGAAGGGCTGCCGGATTTTATGAACGAGTTACCGGCGTCATAGCCTAAGACCTTTCAGATTTGGTCACACGGAACGCTAAATCAAACTGCACTAGCTAAAAAGCTTTGTATGACAACGAATGTTACAACCACGTTTGTGTTGGCTATGAAGGTTTTGTCAGTCAGTAACAGGGGCAGCGCAAGAAATGGCAGTTCTTCCAAAAGGAGCCAAACCTAAGACCTTCTGGCATTCTGACAGTGCGGCCAGGGCTGTCACTGAGGGCCGCCAGGGGCATTCCCCTAGCTACCATGAGCATGACCCCTGGGTACTTTGAGTGGAAACAAAAGGAAAATACAACATAAAGGCCTTCGTAGCTGTTCAATTTGCCGCCTACTCATTGCACATACCCGGCATTTGGAAATCGTAGTGACAGCCCTTTTCTGGTAACTTGTCCAGGAGCTCTACGACTGAGCTACAGGATAATCATATACCATTGAATTAGTGGTCAAGTGACGAACATCCTGGTAAATGATGGATTACAATGTCAATAGCAGCATATTCACAAAGACGAACTCTGGGACCATTGGTCGACGTAACTATCGACGAGCTAAGGCAATTTAACCTTATTTTGCAAGTATGCATGAAAGCGAATTTCCAAGTGTTTGGCTGACTTTTTTTTTGTCAGACTATGCATATCCAGAAGTCTTTAACTACTAGACGACAGGAAAGACTTAGAATTCTGAGAACACAACTGACTTCAAATTCCACAGTTGTAGTTGTAGCCGTAGTGATACTGACTCGTACTGAGACAAATTTTTGCTAACGATACATTTACCTCTCCAATTCAAACTCTGTCATTCCTGGTCGAATGCGCCTCATCACCTAAGTAAAATGCGCAAAAGATAAGTAATTTCATGACTTTAAATGTCAAAATACGGTGTGATTTTTTGTCTGTTGTAATAGCCTATGTGGTAGAGTTAGAAGGGAAGGGCCGGAATTGGGAGTTCTGCAAAGGCGCGCGCTTACATGAAGTGTAGGCGAGAGAAGGAAAAGGAATGTCGCCTAAATTTTCCCTTTCCCTTCCCCTGTAAATGTCTGCAAAGCAGGCTAATTTATGAACAGATAAACTGAGGTAAAACTGATATTTTATTCTTATGTCGAGGCTAGCTTTGTTGATTACGATATTAGTTTTATTAGTTTAATTATATTCTAGTACTTAATATTGTACATGATTACCACTTGTCCAGGTATTTATGATTTTTTCTTTTAATTGTTTTTTATTTCTTATGTATTGTGAATTTAGGTAGCCCTTCAGTGAGGGAAGTTGTTTTCTGTTTAGGGCTTTCCGGACAACACTAAGTGTGTATTTTGTTTTGGTAGAATATTAAAGTAAAGTACGACGCAATTTATTCAATTCTGGAAAGGCCCATTTGCTGTAAATGGGTCAATGGTATGTATCCTTGCTTTCATGGCTTTGTCCCGGGGTGGGTATGTCCCAGGTCGGAATTAAATTCAGGTTAAAGTGTTTTAAACTAGTTTGATTCTTAATTGTCTTTGTCTCCTAGCCCTAATTATTTATGACTTTTGGTTAGAGAACAAAGAAAATTAAGAATCAACCAAGGTTAAATAATTTTAACCTGAATGTAATTTTCACTAGTCAGGGGCACCAGACGACAATTTTCGAAAAATATCTGTTCGGAAGACAATTTGCGATCTAGAATTTTCGGAACATTTGTTGTAAAATTTGTTGCTTGCCTGCCTCCCCTAGAATTTTCGAACATCTAAAAAATGGTATAATTGCCTATTTTAAACGGATTTTCAACCTTAAAAGGTCACCTAGAATTTTGGGAAGCCTTTTTTCTGGCTGAAATTTTCGTACAGGTAAGTTTTGATCCCTATAATTTTCGGATCACTAGACTTTCAGCTAGGAAATCCGAACAGATGAAAAATTTCTAGGGGATAAAAATATGCCTATATCTACCGTTTAAATACTAAAATACGTTTAACACTGCTATGTTTAAGTGGTTTTGACCTATCTTCTCGTTGGGTGCCCCTGACTAGTAACAGGTACACACTGCCTTTAACTTTTACATATAATTTTTAGTATTTTTTTCACTGCGCAGACATTTTTCAACACCTTCATATGCCAGCTTTCATCATGTAGGCTTCATTATGCATCCTGATACCCACATAAACACCTCAACATTTCCTCTGCATACAAACATGGGGACTCCAAAAATGCCCCCTTGGGTTTTGACCTCTGGATCAAACCCTGTGGGGCAACAAATTACAGTAAAGCATATGAGAACTAGGTCTAAAATTTTTACCTCCTTGTGAGCTTCACTGCTTACTCTGTTTGTAAAACGAATCACCTCTATCTCTTCAGGAGTCTTGAACACACGACTACAAAGACAACAAGTAGTGCATTACAAAAGAGATGTGTGCAATGTGAATTTTTTATGTTATTTTCCAAAGAAAAAACAAAAAGGCCCCATGGTTTTCTGTATTTCCTGATCAGGGGACAACGTTTGTTTCTGCGGTTTTTAAACTATTCTATTTTCAATATAGTAAGTTCTATAATCATACTTTAGTAGCAGTGAACAGGACTTATAAAAAAAGTTTCAGCATACTAGCCTAGAGGCTAACACCAGAACCTTTATTAGAAAAATGGAAATTATCACTTTCTATTCCAGTAACAGTGAGGAGCACGCAAATAACAAAAAAAAACACACACACACACAAAAAGAAAAAACAAGTCATCTTGCACTGTCAAATATCTTTGAAGAAACCATGGGAAAATTCACACCATGTTCCTTCACAGATCTGATCCCATTTTTCAGTCCAATGCATAGTTAAACACCAAGTTTTGTTTTTTTTTTTTTATTACACACTCTATCTTTCAAAACTTTGGCTAGGCAGGCTGTATACAGCCACCCTCTTCACCCAAACTAAATCAGGGAGAGACTCTCCCTCTTCCCGATTTTTTTAGGAGAGGGGCTGGCTGTACACAGGCTATGGCTAGGTGCCTGGACAGCCTTTAGTTATGGTGAGCCCTTCCCTGCTAGCATAAAATGTTACCTTGGATTTTTATAAGTATTTTGCAGCTGCAAAAAACTCACAATAAATTATACAGTCAACTCTCACTAAAGTCTGGTTCTCATGTGCCGCTGATGTATCTGCGACGTAGCCGCCAGTACCGCCTGGGTCACTTTTCGCATGAATAAGAACATGCGCCGCTGGCAACTAGAGCCATCGCAGAGCTCTACCGCTGGCATGCTTGCAAAGTTTAACACGAGTCAACTTCACAGGCATGCATGCCGGGGGTAAAGACTGGGATGAGCAATGTTGCCAACCACTTCTGTTCTCATATCGGAACATTATTCAGGCAGTACCAGCGGCCATGTCGCAGGTGCATTGGCAGCATAATATTATGAGAAGCAGGCTTAAGAGGGACACCTTTGGGAATGGCACAAAGTGTTTGTCTAAAAGTAAAGTCTGTCTTATAGAGAGTCAAATAAAGGGAGTAAAGAAAGGCAGGGACCAATTCTTGGTGTCCATTTTACAGAGTTGTCAATCTTATAAAGGTGTCTACTAAGTGAGAGTCAATTGTATATCAAAATCACAGCAATGAAATATCTCACCATTCTGTAATCTCAGGATGCAAACTCTTGTTGTCTACTTTGAATCTAGAAACATAATAATTAATACACTTTAATATGAAATACAGATCCAGGACTTATTTAAATGAAGTGATCTAGTACATCAGTGTATCCACCACAACAAAAACTAAACCTAACACAGGATAAACCCCATCACTACTAGATCACATTATACGTGTGGGGGTAAGGCTTGAGGAGAATAATCACGCTCACTTGCTGATTCCATCAAATGCTGCCTCCCTGCAGTATTGGCCAGAGTCAGTATTGAGACCTCGCTAAAAGAAAAAAAAATTGCGGTGAGCAAAAAGGAAATTACGTCTGCAGCATTATTCTATTTTAAGGATTCTTTGAGTATATGATAAGTGGCTGGGGCCGCACTTAATGGCAAAGATATAGGCGTGGGTAATATTTTTTGTTGCCTGGTCATGTAAAGACTTTTAATTTCACAACACAGACCCCAAAACTAAACAAGAACACACCAGCGTGAGAAGGACAGAAGGTGCTTTCTTTGTCAGTACATCAGCAATCTAAAAAAAAGAAAGAAAAGAGTTAGTAAGTTTATAAGTTGTTATTTTAAAAACTGCAAAGTGAGCTCAAGTTAAAGAAAAATTATCTTAAGATATTTATTAAGTCTAGAAAATGACGGCAAACTTCTGGTATAGTTTTTTTTAATTACGCTGTTCCAAATAATTAAAACAACACCAGTGATCTCTATAAAGTTATAAACGTTTTGGTTACTTAGACATTCTGATAAACCAAGCCAGTGGTCAGATTGTAGAAGTCAATAAAATAAAAATTATTATAACCTTGGTTTTTGCTAATTAATTTAAAAATATTTACCCAGATGTGCACATGTAAACAGAAGGACTATTAAAATTTATTACCTCATCAGTAAAGAAAACTTCATCCACTCCATACTTCTTTTTAAAATGCTCAAGCTCATGGATTCTGAGATGAAAAATCACTAATCAACATGAGACTTAACTTGCAACCGAAATGGTAAGAAGTCTGCAGATAACAAATTTCATGATTGGCCTTAATAAAACTGTTCATGTAATGTCCATTTGGAAAAACAGCTTGACTGTGCCGGCCTTTGTCCTTGCAACTTATAAAGACTTACACCTTTAGAAGAACTGTTTCACTGGACCTTGTGTGTAGGACTCAGTGTGCAAAGAAAGTAGTGCCCAATAGCCTAGGACTAGAGGAGTTTGCTATCGGGCTAGTGAATTCTGTTTTAACTAGCCCAAAGGGCAAGTGAAGTTTTTTGAGGAATTCAAATTACATAAGCACTGCGTAATCAATCCTCATCATCAAAAAGCTTTTGGGGCTAGCTGAAGTGACTTTTGGGCTAGCACATGCCAGCTACAGCTTTCCCAAATGGAAAGCTGTAAAACTGACTTTCTTTGCAAACTTAATGTCATCTACCTGCCTCTTTTATTTAGCCTGGATAGCTGGCAGGATTGTTATGATTCACACGGGGACTATTTTCCGTATGTGTGGAGTGTGGGGGTAATTTTTTGGCAGAAGAACCACAAGGGATTTTCCTAATCAATACAAGTGGCTAAGTTGAAGAAAACCAAAAACTTACTTTCCCATCCAGATGGCATACTCTGGAGGAAGACGTGGAAAGAACAAGATTGAACGTGCAGTGTCTACTTCTACAGCTCCAAAACAGTCACCCTCTAATACACCAAATGTCCAATGAAAATATGATTCCTGTAGGAAAAAAGGAGATGAAGCTGGTATTACAAATCAATTAGACATATATAGCACTTGGGTATTAGCAGTTAACAAGATCATTTTTCAGCCCTTAGGAGACAATACAGTCAACTCTGTAAGTAGCAGACACCTTAACATAATATATTAAAGATGGAACTTCTGCCTTTCTTCAGTCTTTTCTTTGACTCTATAATGCGGACACCTCTGTAAGATGAACCAAGAAAATCATTTTTTGCCATTCGGGCAAGTTGAAGCTAGCGTTTACTAGCCCAAACATCATTTCAACTAGCTCCAGGTGCTTTTTGACAAGCAGAATTGGCCACTCCAGAAAATACCATAACATACCATAATGCTTTTTGATTGTCGCCCCAAAATTTTGCATAAGCATTGTCTTCAGTTTCTCTTGGGAGTTAAAATGGCCCCAAGAGAAACTGAAAACAATGCTTATGCAAAATTCTGGAGGGACAAACAAAGAACATTATGGTATGTTATGGTATTTCTGGAGTGGTCAATTGATTTCATAGTTCTTCTGTTATTCGAATTGCTCGAAAACATGATCACTTGCCCATCAGGCAAGTTAAGAACAGAATTCACTAATCCACTAGCCCCGGCTATTGAACCAGGGCTCGAAATTTAAAAAAATGTCTGGTCGCAAATTTGCGACTAGTTACGAAAATTTGGTCGCAACTTTGAAAATGTTAGTCGCGAAATTAATTGAGGCCATTTAATCAAGAAATAAGTAGGCTTTTAAATGATTAACGCTTTAATTTTCATTCTTTCAACAGCTTTCATGTCATTTCAAGACTTAATAGTACAGAACGTTTAGCGTCTCGGACAACACCAGTTCATCTAAACGATCAAGTTGAACCTGCGTTAAGGCACATAAATTAGTGTCTGTTATTTTAGTCAAAGTGATAGATTTCCAAATCGTGAACAGATATTACAGCAGGAAACTGCAGTTCTTAAATGCCTCCGATCTCTGCAAAATAGCAATAACATTTGTACTGGGCGGACATCCGACATGGTTATAGGTTACGTTACGTAACTAAATTCCTTTAGTTTTACCTTTTGCAGGTTTTCCACCGATGACAAAACAAGTAACGAATTCTTTTATATATTAAGCTTTACATCTGAAGTATCAGGGGTGTTACTACAGTGATTATTCAAAGAACCCTGAAGGACTGAATCATTCAATACGACGATACGTGCCATGCGGACATTCCGCCATCTTTGTTTGCTAAACCTCGTTTTCATGTATACGTAGATTCGCAACCCACTTGGAACCAATTTATTTTACATGTAAATCTTTTTTTTTAAAACTAACCGTTACTGTCAAACGAAGAAACAATGAAGCCTTAAGTACTCTTTTTTTTACCAACGAAAGTTATTGACTCCAGTTTTTCTGCTTGTTTCTGTTCCTTCGATCTTACTCAGTGACTAACGATTGTATGCAGTTGTTATTTCACTACAAGCCATTTACAAACCTAGAGAGAGGGATGGTGACTGATATCTAATCTCGGTGTAGAGTACAGCAAGAATGCAATTTTTTCTAATTTCTGGCTGTCGGCCTAACTCCTTGGTTATTTCAGCAACCATGAAAAACAAAAACAACAACAAACAACACACGGGATAGGAATATGGCTTCAAAAAAACAAAGAGGAGACTATACAAGATATAGAGACCCAGTCAAAAAAAATTTGAATTTTAGACACAATGAAATTCGGCTCTAAAATGCTTTGCAGAGATCCGAGACTCCATTCACTACCCCTTTAACAGTAACTGTCTGATCAAATACTATACACAGTTTTGTCACTTATACACAGCCACTGCTTTGATTCAAGAAATGAGGTCGTCGTGCCCTTTCTCCCTTAGATCTGTCTCGTTCAAACCACTGGTTGACTGCTGGAGTTGGATCAAATTCAGCAACAGAAGGACCCTCTGAGGACAGACGAATCAAATCTTCCAAAACAGATACACTCAAGGTTGCCCTGGTGCTGCTTTTAATTCGATTCTGAGCCGAAACAGCACGCTCGCATTGTGCGGCAGAAATAGGGAGAACCAGAACTAGCTCCACTAGTTGTAGAACATCTTTGAAATCGTCCTTGTAGGGCACTTTGGTCAGTAGCGTCTCCCAAAGGCTACCATAATTAAACTTGCGGAACTGCCCATTGACCATGATTTTTAGGGAGATCCACTGATCTTGAATAGAAGAGATCTTGCATCCTGCTCTTTCTAAAATGGGCTGAAACCTTCGTGTCAAGCGCCTGGTTTCCTCACTGCCAAAATCGAGCAGGTCACCAGGGCACGTTGGCCAGCTGTCAACGTTGAAAACGAGCATGTCGCTAACAACTTTCGTTGAGTTGTAACTCGGGCTTTTGCCTACTTGGCTCTCGATACCTGGCAGCACACCAAACCTATCGCGAAGACCTTGCAAAGTGAGACTCGCAGGGGTTTCCATTTCAGACTGAAGGCTTCGTGATATGCTTCCTCCACGTTTGGCCGCTTTACTATGGATGGAACCTGTCAAAGTCACCCCTTGAAATGTTTGAGTCCCTTCCACCTTCTCCCAGAATTTAGCGAGATGGCCATCTGCCACTGGACAACGGGTAACACTTTCAATTCTCACTAATGTTTCCTTGAGATGGGACACTACTGAGGGGAGTATAATATCATTTCTTTGCATTTGCAGACTCAACCGACTGAGTATGGCAAACAAGTCTGCCAAAAAATGACAAAATGCAACGAAATGAATGTCCTTCATCTTTTGAGAGACGTGCCGCGCTCTCCCTTGGATGTTTGCATTTTTGCAGTTGACACTGAGATCTTCCATATGCATTAGCACGGCAGCATACAGACCAGACTCGGACTCTGTGGCAGATTTATGGCTCACAAACACTTTGAGCGCTCGGCTAACGTGTGGAAGCCAGCTGGTCCCTTTGACTTGCGTTGGCTTCAAGATATTAATTTCAAGCTCATCCGCTATAGACTTCAAAGCCCTGACACTTTTAGGGCTATAATGGTACGTTTTCCAAATTAGATGGAGGATATTGTACACATCCTCCACAGACTTGCAACCACCTTGGAGCTCTAGCAGGGCAAGCTCAAGCCTGTGTGGTAGACAATGGAAGTCAACAAGGTAAGGAATGTCTTTTTTGAGCAATGCGGCAACGCCTGCTTTTTTACCGAGGTTAACAGAGGCCCCATCAGCGCCAAAAGCAACCAGCTTCTCCTTCCAGTCTTCGACCCCCGCTTCTTCGAAGGTAGTACCAATAGCCTCCTTCAGCCCTAAAATAGGTTTATTAAAACAAAACATGAACGGTCCACCCTACGGTACTTGATTTAAGACATAAAAGTATAAAAATAATTACACAGTCCATCTGCCCGTAAACCTTTGCTGAAAAAGGTATAAACCTATTGCTAAACTGAGAGAGCTAAATGTAATTGATAATGTTTGCAGTTCCCCTCTCTGAGAGTGCTTTGCTGTCATAGGTCTCTCTTCAAGTAATATTTAATTACACAAGGCGGCTTTGAAACTATTAAAATTACCTCTCTTAACTGGCACCTTAGCAACAGAAATCCAAATACATTTAACTGTTTTAACTGCATAAGGGGCTATAGTTTCAGGTGGTTACTCTCTTAGATACTGATCATCACCTGAGCAAATGAAAGTGTACCAGCAAATTAACATACTTTTGCTGTGACAATTACTCGACAGCTTTATGGCCAATAAGCCTGTTGACTGGGCGACCATCTTGGACAAATCTACAGACGACTGTTTCGTTTTCTGTACCTCCTGCATCGGTTGCTCCATCAGCCATGACACTTATGAAGTGTTTGCTGTTAATTTTCCATAGCAAGGTCTTCTTTGGCGAGTTTCCTGATAACAGATACCATTTCGGCACAGGTCTTGTCATTTGCATACGTGGACGTTAGTGCTAGACCATTCTTTTTCTGCAAAGATATGAGGGAATTGAACTTGCTGAAAGGCAGTTCTTCTTTCGCCACAAAGTAGGCAGTCGTCATTTTAACCGCAACTTCCTTTCGGTCTCTTCCATCCAGGTCCTTTGTCGCCTTAAAGAAACTTTGCACGAGCATGGTTTCACGAACAGGCTTCTGTTGAGACAAAAGGGCTGTATGGGCACGTAGATGGCCGTTACTTTTAGCATGGATTTGGAATGTCTCCTTTTTCTCTGACTTGCAACCTGTAATGAACTGCGTGTTTCCAACTTCTTTTGGTACTTGAATGCAGACACTGCAAATCACTGCGTCATCCTCTTTCTGAATTGTCAGCCAAGGGAACTCGTCCTTCCATTTTAAGACGATCTTTTTCTTTAAGGCGGCTGAAGCTGAAGGTGATTTTTTGACGTCAGGTTTGTTGTCAAGACCTGCATTGGATGTCTTTCGTTTTGAACCTTTGGGTTTCTCAGCAGGAACAGTCGTGGCCTTCGGTTTCAGAAAGGAAAAGAGTGTACCTTGTTGCTTCCTTTTAGGGGTACTGTTCTTGCTAATAGACGGGCAAGGCCGCTTGTCACTATCTGGTTCGTCTGCCAGGACTACAGGCACAAAGTGGTTTAAGATGTACCAGCCTCCATCTGCATTGCCCAAATTACCATCCCTACACCACAGAATGTTCAGGGGTTCTTTAGGAGTGGCGGAGGTATCCGATGTTCTAGGATTTATAACTCGGTTTACCAGACAACGGTATTTGAATTGGACACTGGGGTACATTGAGACTATCGGTCTACATAGAACAGAACTCATAGCCATGATGTGGACAAGGGAAGACCAAGATCTGACCTCACATGCCACAAAAGCCTCTTCTTTTATGGTCTCCTCCCTATTCCCTGTGTCAGAAAATTTTTTGTCTCCTTGCGTTGTTAACGCAACAGTAAACAGAACAGCTGGGAAAAAATCTGTACCCGATGCAACTGCATCGTTGAAAGCATCGTGGTCAGCGTAAAATGACCGATTGAAATACAGTTCTCCAGCCACCAATAATCGCAAGAGGTGCGATCGGTTTTCGTCACCAAATAACAAAATGGAGATGGAATTGAAAAGGCAATCTCCATTACCTTTAGCTTTTAGTGCCACAAGACGATCATCGGCTCCTGTGACACCTTCTGGGATGAGCGAGGTCCCAAGTTCATCTCGAGGAAGATTACTGTATCTTGGTTTTCGCTGCTGACTGATTAAACGTGAGAATTCCTCTTGTTTTCTTGAGTATATAACTTTTGCTCGGTCGATTTCTTCGTTTAAAATGTGACCTTTGAAACAATTTAAGTCGCTTTCATCCAACATAATTGACTCACTAAAGAAGAACACATGTGCACTGTGAGGGCCGTAACGCGGGTCATAAACGCGGGAAATTATTCTTTCAAACATCATTGACTGGGGACTTAATAGAGAGGGGGGCCAACTAGAGAGGTGAGTTAATCTAATTTAACGGAAACAGTGCTAAATTTAAAGAAAAAGGGGGAGCCTAACTGTAGCCATGGCACTCTATTAATGTTCTGGATCAGAGGGGAATGACCATCTGTAGTGAAGATTTGAGAGGGGGTACTAATATTAGAGAAGGAAGGATTTAATTCAGGGGAGAGGGCTCAATATAGGATTTATAGCATCTACCCAGCAGACCCCAGTCAACAAGTACAAACCTCTTGGCTCATACATTTAGTCCGGCTCATATACATTTGGTCTGGGAAAAATGTAGAGGGCAATTCTCGAATGAAATTTTAGGCAGCTGGTCCAAAAGCACTGAACATGCCCAGAAGATGTTACAGGTCAGAATTAAATTCAGGTTAACTTTCTTTTTTTAACCTAGGTTAACCTTAATTGTCTCCTAGCCAGAGAAAAAGGGAATTGAGAATCAACCTAGGTTAAAAAATCTTAACCTGAATTTAATTTTGACCTGCAACATATAAACATACTGAGCAAAAGCAAGTGGCCACGGCCTGTCAAGTGCTAATAAATAGCTTCAACAAGCATTTAAATATTATTTCAATTACCTGACGGAAAAGTACATCCCTATCAGTACAGTACAGCTGTTTTTGTTCTCCTCCCTGCAGAAGAACTATGGCCTCAGAAGGAACCTCTTTTGCATTTTTTAGCCGCTCACAGAGACGCTTTCTATTGGTTGAATGGAGACTAACTGGAACAGCCAACGTGTGGCTTCCAAGTTGATAGCGCGATCTGAGAATAAATCAGTTAAAGAATATTTTAATGTTTACCCGTCACTGATGTCACAATAAAACCTACGAAACGTACGTTGTAAAATTAATTTTGGTGAACAGAAAAAATTTCCAACTTATCCACTCTTAAAACTGTTTACAAAACATTACTGATGATCATTAACATGGGGACAGGCCTATACAAAAATAATATGTCTTTTCGGATATATATGTGCCCATTCTTTTTTTTTCTTTACTTTATTTTCAATCATGATCAGCTCTGATTTAAAATTGCCTAAATTAATTTTCATTGGTTAATGGAACTTATTTAGTTTTCTAGTCCCTGCAGTGTCTGGAATTTGAATGTTTGACACAGCCTAATGAATGCCTTTGAATCAGGCCTCATAATCCTTTCTTTTGAAGGTCTTACAGTGTAAGTATCGGCCTGTTTCTATGGCAAGTTTCTGATTGGTTAATAGCAATTTTTTACAGTTCAAGATTCTGTGATGCAGTGCTGTCAACTCTCCCAGATAATCCGGGAGACTCCAGATTTTTAAGGGTATCTCCCGGTCTCCAGATTAGAGTCTGAAATCTCCTGAATAATTGCCAAAGTTTGCCATTTCTTGTAGAATCGATTCTCTGAGAATGAAATGTCAAATATTTTGCATTGTTTGAGCTATTTTATTAACATTAAACATTTCCTTATAAACTCCCATATACCATTGAATTATAAGCAGTAACGTGATTGATGGCAAGACATTATTATATGCCGTTGTCTTATTTTGTAAATAACTCTTATTTATTAGACACTCAGTCCTATTACTAATATAAATATCCTCTCTACTAACTCCAAAGGAAGAAAGAGTTACTCAGGCTAGAATAACCGTCTTTCCCGTGAAGCTTTACAGTGGTGTTCATTGTGTTTTATTTTCTATCTGAGGGATGTGATCAGGGACCCTACCCTATGAAGTAATCTTTACATGGCCGTCCTGTGACATACAATTTGCACGTACCAAAAATCGAAGGAAGCTAAGGTAAAATTTAGCAACAAAATTACAATTTTTTAAAAAAACGGAATGAAATACAGCTACAATATGTAAAAAAAGGTTGACTGATAAACAAAAAGGCGCATGAGAAGTGACCAAGACTGCTGGTCCTAGCGGGAGATGACGCGATCGAGTAACACTGCGTTAAATTTTCATTCCAACGACATCTTCCGTTTACCGAGAACAGTATGTTTAAATACTTACGGTACATTTGATGCACTCATCCTTTGAAAGATTTCGAAAGAGGGCAATCAGATACGATGCACAGGCCAAACAAACGATGACCTTTCCGGGACGGAGCAGGACCTGCTTGTATTGCTTGTATGAGGTGACGCTCGGACGTGATCGTATTTTATCGGTTTTTATCGTCATTACTTCGAGTCTAGTCTCCAGTCTCTTGATTTTGCTCCTAAGTACTTGGAACATGGAACAGCTTTGTAAATTTGCAATTTAATTGCAAATTATGAGTAAGTTCTCCTTACGGTCTTTGTCTTTAGTTGATAGATAGGTTTTGTAATCCTTCTTGGCCATGGCTGATGATATAGATGACCTATTAGACGAATGTGAAACGAAGTTTTGCGGGAATTCAAAATCTTCATCACAGAATCATCCGAACAAAACAAACTCAAGATCGTCAAAGAAGGCGACACGAAACGAGAAAATTGGAACGAAAAGGTTTGTCGTTTTTTTCAATAGAACTCGTATACTTAAGCCATATCTGTTACGTTTACTTATTTATAAGGGCACCTCTGCAATTCTTGTGGTCTTTTTAGTTCACAGACCAAAAATGTTGAACGCGATGAGCTCAACGACATGATCAACGAGTGCATGGACGATGGACCAGAAATTCCGGAAGTTCATGAGAAGGTAGAAGCATATGTTACGTGTAGTTTACTGTAGCCAACTTTTTAAAGGTAAAGATAATATTCCTCTGAAAGAAATATAAAGAATGTTTCCACACGTGTACACGAAACTTTTGTTTCAAAATTATATAAAAATACATTCTTAACATTGGTTGCCAAGGCGCCAACAGTTACATTAACAAGACGCCTAAAGTCGTTTCCGTGGGATGCGTTGGTCTATGGAAGCATAATGGCGTTCGATCTGAATTTTGGAAAAATTAGGGAAACCGGAAAGATGTGTCATGTTATGAGCATCGATGAGTAGGTTACCTGTATGGGTTGGTTTAATGTGCTTATGACTCAATTTATAGTAGCCTGTGTGGCAGGCTACTATTTCTCCCCAATCCACATCCCCTTTTTGCTTCCTCCCTATCCCCTACCCCTTTCGACACCTGCTGCGCAAGCTAAATTTATAGTTGTCACTGGTCGCAAGGATGGAGTTGATCTTGTTTTGATCTATTGCCATGTAGTTATTTTCATAGAACGATTTGGATAAGAATAAGAAGTTATTTTGCATCAAAACAAGGTTTACCCGTGTAACTTAAATTGGAATGTTAACGGAAACAAGTAATGGAGAACATGCGCATAATGCTCTCTGATTAACCTGAACAGGAACTATATGTATAAAGATACGTCATATCTTGGTAGTAAGTAGCCACAGGTAACTTTTTCAAAGAGAAATAAACATTGCAGTTTTAGGTTAATGGAACAAAACAAAACAAAACATCCGCTTGCTTTATCCAGGGTCGAACCCAGGGTTACAAAGTTCGATAAAGTTTCAATGTTTTAATCCAAGATGAAAGTTTAATATTCCAAGATGCTCTTGATATGGTTAAAAATTAATTGCAATGTGTTTCCAAGGTGTCAAAGTTAACATAGTTCCAATGATTATCCCCGATTCCAAGGTATAATAAGTTTACTAAGGTCCTGATCCGTGTCCCATCCAGAAGTCCAATCCATGCTGAAAGCGAGTCGTCGATCAATGAGGACAATATTTTCGCGATTTCACCGCCAATCGTCAAGGGTACAAGTTGAAATTTAAGCGATTTAACCTCCCATCGTCAAGGTGTTTTCGATAAGAAAAGAAAATAACTGAACTCTAGCTGTGCTCGGCAAAAACTGGCGAACTCCGAATAGAAAAATCTATCGGAAATCACGGCCCATAACCAGACGCTACTAAAACCTTATGAAAAAGCTAAACCTAAACAAAAAAGAATCATGAAGGAAAGAAATAATTTGGCTTAGGTCGCCTTTAGTGACTTGCCAGTATCCCGAAGGATTTCGCTGGTGAACAAGCCATCCTAAACCACGAGTGGGAAAACTCAAGCACGACAAATTTGACAAGAAACGTTCTGATTTCAACGTTCTTCAGAGGAAGCAAATCGATTAAAAATCAATACAGATTTTGTACAATCTGATTGGTCGGCTCGGAAAAAGAGATAATCGATAAAGATTTTAGGCGACCCTATTGGCTGGCTTTGCAATTTTGGGTACAACCGAACCAGATTTTAACTGTGAGAGTGCCACAGGTGTCCCACGGAAAAAATACAGAATTGTAAATTAGTTTACTAAGCTACGAGGTAGTTATCCCGGTTGTTTTTTTTGCTGGGTGGGGAGAATTATTTTTACAGTGGAAGCCCTTGAGATTACCAAATTACTGCTCCCCCCCTCCGGCCCCATCACAACCCCTAAATCAAAGCAAACTGTGAAAAAGAGTCCTAGGTGACGTGCAATAGTGCTAGATTCTCCTCCCAAAATTGCCAAATATTTGTCTGTGAAATGAAAGGAGAATTTGGCATTGTATCAAGAATCACTAAGGGCCTTATTCTTAATCATATTTATTTATAATTTGGAAGAATCATCCACCCTTCTCTCTCAACTGCTACCTGAGCACCTATCAAACATATCAAACACACTCTCCTAAGCTCTGATTACTCCTAGTTATGTAATTAAGAATTTATTATTATCGCAGACTGATGTGGTTGGTGGGCTCATTCCTCCCCATAGGTCTCTTTGTCCCTGCAAGCTTACTGCGCTCTTCACAAACATGCGAATTCTGAAGTTCAAAAGCCAAATGACGATTGCATTTTTTGCAGCCGTCAATCATCTTAACGGACCTCTTAGAAAACAAAACTTTACTTTGATGGGTTGTAACAATTAACAACAATATACCTTTTTATGTAACAATTAATGAATGAGGCTGAGTATCTTATGAAGAATTATGGAGATCAAGGAGGGTATTATCCATCATGGCCGTAGGCCGAGGCGGATAACACCCTCCAAGATCTCCATAATTCTTCATATGATACGAAAGCTGAATTCAATAATTATTGTTTTATTATTCATTCAAAATAATTCCTAGTCTAAAAACATAGTTAAAACATGCTTACCTCCATCGATCAGATCGATGTTAAGTTCATCTTCGATAGTGCACGTTTAGGGTTGTTCAGCTCCGCAAATACTCTCCAAATAGCAGATATCGCCCTTCGAGTTGTCTTCTTGCTGTTCTTGTCATGTTTTTAGCCATTATATCGCTTAGTTCCAGCGGTAGTTCTTACTCTTGAAACGAGTGAAGTGTCCACCATTTTAGTTTTCAGAATGAAAACAACTCAACCTCATCCTCAGGTCTTCTCGGTTAACAGTGCATTAATCTGTAGAAGGCTGCATTTTTGACGTCATATCCTCGTGAAACACAAAATTCTTCCAAATTTGGTCATCAGTAAGTGGTTATGGTGAATTATGAATAATGAAGGAAATTAAGGCTTCATGAAATTAACATTTGTGTTAACTCAAGTCCTGTTAATTTCTGTAAATGTTAATTTCCCCGCCATTAATTTTATTAAACGGAGCGTTTATTTCCGCAACCTTAATTTCCATTATTTTGGCTCCGAATTCTCAATATACTTTTGACATTCTTGACACCTAAGAAAGAGGACTATTTTATCAGGATGGAGATCTGCCAGTATCAGTGAAACTGTCAAACCCTTGAAATGGCCAGATTTCTTCGCTTGTCCCCCTTCAAATGTTTAGGGAAACTTCCACTAACAAAGTTTCCATTTTGGGTTATACGTTTACTTTTATTTCTTTGTCTCAACAAGTCTTGTTTCTTTGTGAATGCCCCATTAATTTCCTTCATTTTAAAATGTTACCCTCTCTTTCTTGTTAGTTTTCTTTATTTCAAAGTCATTTTTCATTATGTTGCATTAATTTAAGTTGCTTTAATTTCCAAATTATCTTAATTTCAAGGAACAGTAGTTTCCTGTAACAAGATATTTGGAAGAATTTGCTTGAAACCTGACTCGGGGGGGGAGGGGGAGAGTTTGATGGATCAAAGCCTTTTGGGGGTCTAAATTTATCCTGGAGGTTATAGTTAGCTGCAGGAAATTTACTCTTGTGTTGTCTTTCTTACTGTTTTTCTTGTCTCTGTAACAGCTGTGTTGAATTTTCATACAAGGGGAACTTCCCGTAGCTGTATGGGTGAGGAGTCAAGAGGGGCACTGCTCCCCCTATCTCCAATTTCCGAAAACTGTGATACTTTTTAGGAGCAACTGAATTTGATAATGGTAAATCTCTTGGGAGAAAATTTAATAAATTAACGTTCAGAAATAAACTAAAAATTATCACAGGCGGGGCACATCAGCCAGCAACAATTTTTAATGGAATTGTTTTACCCTAACACATGATTTTCCATTTTGTTCTCCAGCATTTGACACAGATTTCCTCTTCAAGCCAAAAAGATTCAAGTTCATCAAGGAAGAAATGTGTTAAGGTTTTTCTTGGAGGCTCCAAGTTTGCAAAGGGACTCTCCACTGGCTCAGAAGAGAGGTGCTTATTTGTGATTCAAGTTTTTAAGTGTTATTAGTATTATAAACAATTATTAGAGGTGTATTATCTTGTCGTGGAAGTATAAAACCACACCTTCCTACAAATGAAGCCCAAAAAAATGTGCATTTTTGTGGCCTGGAAGTTTAACGTGGCATTTTTTGTGACCAAGCAAAGTAGTCATTAAATTGTTGACGTTATAATTATTATACCAGCATTTTAGCTTTTGGTACCAAAAGAGTTACCACTTTTTAGTTGAGAAATGCATAAACTGGCAAACTGAAGGTTTGAAATTTTCACCATTCAAAATACTGAAGGCCTTGACAGCCTTGGCCAAAAAAGAATGCAGGGTGCAAAGAAAGTCAGTTTTACAGCCTGCCATTCAGGCAAGCTGTAGCTAGCATGTTCTAGCCCACAAGTCATTTTAACCATCCCCAAAACCCTTTTTGATTAGCCTGATTAGCAGGATTGATTACAATCCTTCTGTATTTTGAATTTCCAAAAAAAAAAACGGCACTTGCCCATCGGGCAAGTTAAGAACAAAAATCACTAGCCCGATAGCAAAATCCACTAGCCCCGGGCTATCGGACACGACTCTCTTTGCACGCTGGAATGAATATTCCAATGCCATGATATTGAAGCCTTTTTTAAAAATTGATCAGAATAAGGGTTAGCAGAAAAAGGGAGTTGGTGCTTTTTATTAGTAACTTTTCATAAATTCAGTGCTACTTGTTAATTCTCGTTCTGAATTGCCTTTCATGTTCCTGTGAACTTACTGGAGAATTTAATTGTACATCAATGCAGTTAAGAAGCCTGCTGAAAAGTTGATACTGGGTCTTTTCGTATTTAGAGCATTATTTAAATTTGTCTAAGTTGTCTTCTTTTTTGTTCCTAGAGTGTGCGACAAGCTACGTTGTACATCGTGCGACTTCAATGTGGTCATCCTTAATGACTATGAATGGCATGAAGACTGTGATTATTTATTCTTTAGAAACAATATACCAGACTTTGATAAACTTAAAAGCAAGCTTTCAAGGAAACGAGGTAATTGATAACATAAAATCTTCCATCCTGTTGCTCTCAATCACAACAATATAAAGTCGAACCTCCCGTAAGCCACCACCCAAAATGCAAAGACGGAATGGTCACTCACAGGAGATGGTCGCTTACCAGAATCTAACCACAGGGGGTCTCTTCATTTTGTGGGGAGACCACCAGTGGTGTCTCAGGAGTTAAGATTTCCCCTCTGTTCCATTATTTTCTTGCGATCAAGTATAAAAACCCAACTACCAGTTGCTAATGATATATTCAGCTTTCTCACGGTAGAAGCTCACTGTGATTTGATTTTGTAGGTTGTTGCGCCTATGCCTGCCAGTGTTCATGGAGATCCATTGTACAACTCACTGAGCTTTGGTCTGGCGATCCACACCTTAAATGGGTTTGTGGAAAGCACAGCTGACAAAGCAAATGGGCCTTAGTTTTTAGTGTATTGGTAATAAAGAATACAAATTAATATAGGCCAGGACAATGAAGGGAATAGACTTGATTGAAGTCTGTAAATGGCATTATTTAAGTTTTTTGGAGAGATTGCAGGTAGTTGTCATGTAAATAAATAAATATTTCAGACTCTTTGAAAGAAAGGAAATAACCTTGTTCTGAAACACGTTTTTTCTGACCAAGTGCAATGCTTTAACCTTGTATAACTTGTAAAAATATTATGAACAAAAGAAAAACATGAACAGTGTTAACTTTGGTTTGTTCTGTATTTTTTTAATTTGTGAATTTTCCTAGAAGAACTTTCACAGTCACCTTCATTCACCAGTAAAAAATACTATGATAGGAACATCGAAGGAAGCTTATGTTAAGGGACAAACTCAATTGTTCACATTACAGACCTATCCACAGTTTTTTTTGAAACTTTTGGTATGGACCAGATAGGTAAATCCATGAATGCGACTGGAAAGAGCACCCTTAAATACGTGAAATTGCCAAGTTGTGGAGAGGGATGAAAAACCAGCTCCCCTAAAAACGCCTGCGTGGGAGGCTAAGTTTGAAAGTGGTTTGTTGAAAACTAACCATTATGTAGCTCATACAAACAACTATGAATTCTTTCCCCTTTGTAGAGCTACCTTATCTTCGCTCCATTAAGGCCCATCATTTTCAAACTTGGCAAGTTAGCTAATTTTAAGACACTTTTTCCAGCAGTGGCAAAAGATTTTGCTAACTGATCCTTATCAAAACTTGAAAAAAAATGTGGAAGGGTAGAGGTACAGCACAGCATGTATTGTGTTTGGCATCATATCGTCATTGTGCACAGGGAGGACTGTCTGCAGGGTTTTCCCTCAATTTCTTCCTTTCGGAGTCCCTAAGACTCCTTTAACCAAAGGTTGAGGGTTCCAGAGGGAACAGTGAGAGTCCTAAGGTTAGCATTGTTTCAAATTCCAGGAAATCTCTGAAACATTTTCGGGTTTCTTGTAAACAACAGAAGCATCACTACAACCGTTTGCAGCCTGAAGTTCCATTATTGGAATTTATCAGCGGCATGTTGTTCTTAGTCTTAAGATACACTTTTTTATGCTGAACAATGTGCCTCCTTGTAATTTCCAGGGTTTGATTGTCGATATTCTTCTTTGCATTTGAAACTGTCGCTTGAAAGCTTTTTCTAAGCTTGAGGTCACTGATACTCAAAACTGTGATCCTTAGAATTTTGGTGCCTTTCCAGAGCCAACTTCTGAAGATTGTTATAGCCTACGAGGGTTTCTCTTACCTGTTGACTTATAGATATCGCAACCATGTAAATTCTTTCAACCAAGCAGGAAAAAAACGCCTCTTTTTCTTAACGGGCTCACTGGGCTGTGATTCCGAATCCGCCATGTTTTTCCGACTTACTTTCTGTTCCAGAATGCCTCACAATAAAACATTAGTTCTCAAACCTCTGCAAGGAGAATCAATGTGGTTCCCCGATCCGAACATCAAAAAAAGTAAGCTTGAGAACCAGGCAAAGTGAGTATGGCTCTTTTTAGTCGAGCTTGCTTGAGCAGAGCGAGGCTCTCAAAATGCAGTCGTGTTTTTTTCGTCGGTGGGACCTAGTTTGTAGGCCCCGCGTTCCTAGCGAAGACCGTGGAAACTGGGGATAAGAATCGTGACGACTTTCATTGTATGGAAATGAGTCTCGTGATGAGAATGCAGTTTATTTTCGGCGATGACTGAAATGACCCATGTAAGTTTGGCAATGACGTAATTTTCCTCCAATGGAGGCCCTTGATTTTCGTGTAATTATGCAAGCAGGATGAGAAAATATTATAGCGGGGAAATCCTTAGCCTGAAATTCATCCGATAGCTTCGAGTCGTTTTCTCCTCTCAACAACGTCGTTACTGAGGGAGTAATAACGACTCGAAGTAATCGGATGAAATTCAGGCCAGGGAAATCCTCAGGATTTTGTGGCTTTTTAAGGCGTTACGTTTCTCACAATATTGTCACAATTACAGGAAATGTACGGTTAAATAGATTCACTTTGTTTTATCTATTTAATTGATAGATTTTCGCAGTTGTTGTGTGAAGTCGTGTTGCACTTCATAAATACTTGAGATATGAAGTATCCACTGTCACGTAATTTTTACGTGCGCACGTGCGTAAAATTTGCGTTCGCAAATAAAATAAGGGCAATGTCGCACGTACAATTATGTAAGGGTAAAAGTAGAAACTCGCTTAATTTGACGTTTAAGCTCAATACTTTATGTCTTACCTCTATTTGATTTACGTGATTAAAATTTACGTGCGCTAACGTTCGGAGCCAAAAACGCAGCAGTGGAAATCCACCCTAACGTGTCACGGATATGTTTATACGGATAGCTTTGAGCTTGACTAACCGCACACTCTACTTGCAGCACTTCATGTCCATAGTTAATAGAAATCCCATATCGAGCTTTTCCGGAACAGGTTGGTCCAAGACTTCTATGGCTTGAAAGCGTTGATTATTTTGGAACAACTGATTACTTCAGTGGTCGAAAAAAAAGAATAATCTTAATGCGCAAAACTTCAAGGTTTACTGGAAAATCAGGATCGAGAAATCAGGGATCGAGGATCGGTTAAAAAGAACTTGAAAATAAAATAAATAAATAAATCGTGGATCAGTGGTGATGTGGGACGCAGACTGTCGACGAATTTCACAGAACATAACCCCGTTCGCTGTACTGAACACTAAATTCAAGTAAACTAATCCGAGTCTGTCTGAGCCAGGGATCTATCTATCTATCTATCTATCTATCTGTCTGTCTGTCTGTCTGCCTGTCTGTCTGTCTATCTGTTTGTCTGTCTGTCTGTCTATCTATCTATCTATCTATCTCTATCTATATCTATCCATCTATCTATCTATCTATCTAAAATGCATGCTGTGTACAACTCTAAACATTGTACTCTGAGACTGTACGGAGATATTAAAAGTAGATACTAAGCAGCTATGGAAAATGTCATTACTTTCATGCGATATTGATATCTTATAAAACGGACAACAAATTCAGCAGGAATACGCGCGAACTGAATTGACTGTGTGTTGTATAAGGTTCTGTTAAACTTACACTTTTTTCCAGTGCTGAACATATACTGTACCGAGCCGTATCTTGGTCCGGTACAAAGAAGCTACGTGTATTTATACTGACAGAGTCATGGGCCCCTGATACCGATAAAAATCATCGTTCAATTTTTCGAGTGTAAAGTCCCTGAAAGAGTACTCCTCAATGGAGCAATATCAATATGTAGAAGGTTTTCAAAGGTTTCACACCGGTTTGAGGCTAAGATGTGCGGCCTGTCTCTCCTTGCAATTTTTACTTTTTGAGTATATACATTATGACATACAACACTCGTTTTGTATTCCAAACGAAAGAGTAGTATAACGGCACCGGGGCCTTTGACAACAAAACTCATCTCCAAGCAAGCGAGACTCAACGCTACTAAGAGCGTTCTTGTTAGTTTTAAAAAAGGAGTCAGACAAAAAAATAAGATAAAGAAGTCTTTATATTTCATTCTTAAAAAAGATTTTTTGCAGATCTAAGTTCTAAACTAATTTTTAGTAAACTATCGCTCTAGAACATGTGCGTCCTAGAGGACCGGTTCTCTTTCGTGTTTTGCGTCCTTTTTTTCTTTTTCGGCTAAACAACGCGTCTCTGACGCGTATTAGGGAGCTTAAGATCCAACGACGTGGACGGCAACGAGGTAACAAAAACAATAGGTTTAATAAGCAAAACAACAACTTCGCACGTGCATCACACTTTTTTGTACATTTTTTTCCCGTGTTTGCACGACTACGACGTGAAAATGCCTTATTTTGCGTTTATAGAGGACGTAAACAAGCAACAACGAAATTTTATTTCTCTTTCTGAGTTTGGATCCGTGGTCATTTGAAATTCAGCTTCAGGAGGGTTCACCTACATTTGATGAAGTAAGTGGGTAGGAATAATCGCTATAAAGACTGAAAAAACGCGAATTCACTTTTTAAGCGACGTTCTCGTTGCCGTCGCGTCGTTAAATCTTAAAGTCCCTATTTGCACGTAAGGGAAAACCCTGGTCTGTAATAGAGAGGTGTCCATTGTGAGAAATTTGACTGTAGCTGCTACTACTGGCAATATAATGTCAATAGAAAGACACTAAATTGGAACTGTAAAATTCTTTGGAGTGCATCTGGTACAGCTTCAGCAAACACTGTCCTAAAACGCGGTGTTGCACAAGTGTGTATGGTGTAAAGTAACAAATATCATAGTCATCATTTGGGAAAATAAACCGACTGTGGTGAACTGGGCTGATGCCAAGTTTACTTACAACCAACCCAACATAAGTATCATCGATTCTAAATGGTTTTTTCATATCAAATAAAGGAATTAGACACTGGACAATGTCATTTGAGAGAACATACCCAGCTCCACTGCAGTAGCTTGGGTAAGTTGAACCAGAGTATTCTTCCTTGCTGACGTTGAATTTCCCATAACGACGCACCTTGGCCCTAAACTGCACTTTGCCCATGTAAAGTCTCTTCAGGGGTGTTGATGGGTTTTGTAAAAGAAGAGTCAAATCTTTGGTGTTAACATACACATCATCATCTGCCTTAAGCAAAAAGGAAAAATTACAGTATCTGGCTGCCCATTCAAATCCCATCTCTATCTTGAAACTTTGGTTCCAGTAATGTTCATAATAATCACCACGAATTATATCACCATAACCTTTGGCTTCTGTTTCAAGCAAATCTGAAAGTTTCTGGTTTCTTATTTGACCAAGAAGAAAGAATGTCCGCGATTGATCATGGCTATTTGCAGCACCCCAAGTTTGGCGAATTAAACTCCTTCGATCAAAATTACCAGGTGCAGATGACACCAGTATAAGAAGAAAGTAATCCCGTGAGCAAGTAGTATTGGTTATTAAGGTTGATAAGTGCTGGAGAGATTCTGTTTTCCAAGATTTACATTCCTGATTGATAGAAGTCTCTGCTATCCCAGTGGATCTTTCAAAGAATAACATAACGAAGGATGTAAATATTGAAGCTGCTATTATTCCAGCAACGAGTAAAAACTTCGTCAACTTCATGGTCAACAATCTCCGCCAAAGTTGCCTTTTCAAAAACAACCTCATGTTGGTGAAAGAGCAACTTTTTTCACTTGGCCCTAACAGAGGAGGTTTTAAATTAGACGCTTCCTACAAATAAATGAAGGCAGGGTTTTAAAAAAAACACTTGT